GTCCGGCAAGGAGGTCAAGCGGGCGGACATCACCGCCGTCCCCAAGGTCCCTGGTTCTGCCGCTGCCGCTGCCGCTACCGCTGCCCCTGCCGTTGTCGTTGCTGTCGCTGCTGCTGCTGCCCCCGCCGCTGGTGCCTCGTCAAAGCCCAGCAAGCCTCACCCCGCCTACAGAGTCCCGCTGTCCGTCATGGACACTGACTCTGAAGGAGAGGGCCCCCGGGCCAGCAGCAGCGCTGCACGACTCCAATGAATCCACACCCCTCGCAGGGAGGCGGCAGGGCCCAGACATCCCTGACCGTCGCTTCCTTCAATGTCTGTGGCATCAACGTCAACGACGTTGAACTCAAGAACCTCATCGACACCAACGACATCGACTTTGTCGGTGTCCAAGAAACCCTCGCCGACCTCGAACCCCGCAGCCCTCTCTGTGGCTATGCCGTCAAGGTCCCTGGTCCCCGTTGCCGCGCCGGTAGAGGCATCGCCATCCTCTACAACCCGGCCAGGATCGACCCGCACGACTTCACCAACATTGAAGTCAGCGACAAGGGCGACGCCATGTGGGTGACATACAAACACGTCATCCACATCGGCAACTTCTACCTGTCCCCGAGCCTCAAGCTGGACGACTACCGCGAGGCCCTCCAGTCGATCCACACCAAGGCCGCCCTCCCCGACGCCCAGGTCATTGTGGTGGGTGACTTCAATGCCCACCTCAGTGCCCTGAGCGGACTGCCCACGCCGCTCCGTGGCAGGGAGAAGATCCTCGAGGACACTGTCTCCCGCGCCGGTCTCCGCGTTGTGCCTCCAGCTGTGATCCCGACCCACACCCGGCAGCGGGGTCCCAGCTGGACAACGATCGACTACATCTTTGTGTCGCATCGCCAGGCCAACAACGACCCGCTGCTGCAGGTCGACACTGCCGGTGCCTTCCGTGGCCAGTCCGACCACTTCCCCATCTGGGCGACTCTGCGGGTACAGCCAAAGTACTACCCAAAGGTCGACCAGTGGCAGTGGAAGATCGCCCAGCTCGAGGATCCTGCCGTCCGCGCCCAGTACCTCTTGGCGCTGCTGGACGAGCGCGAACGCGGTCTGCAGCGCATCCAGGCTGCACTCCGGCCAATCTCAAGGGGATCGGTCATTCCGATCTCGGAGAGTGCGGCCCAGGACTGCATCGACCGCGCCTGGTCCATCATGATCGCCCTGATCACCACCGCTGCCGACTCCACCATCGGCAAGGCTTCCATCAAGACCGTCTGGAAGGACCCGGCCCTGATCCCCGAGATGCGGCAGCTTCGCGAGAGGCGCCGCGATCTCATCTACCAGCTCAAGTTGCCCGGGCTCTCCCTCCGCGTCGCCGAGGACAAGCGCGCCGAACTCCGCGCTGTCCGCAAACAAGAAAAGAACCTCATCGTCCAGTCCCGCCGAGCAGCCGAGACCCTGGCCATGAACAAGCTGCACTCCCTCAACGCTTCCGAGGTCGCCAAGTCCCTGGCCGCCATGAAGAAGCGCAAGGAGCTCGACGACGCCTTCCACTTCGACAACTCGGACGAGGCCCTCGAGCGACTTGTGGTCCACTACGGCAAGGTCTCCTCGCACTCCCAGGACACCCCCGGTAGCCGCCTTTGACCGGACCGTCGGCCCAAGACCCCTGGACACTGTTCCGCGCCTGCTCCCCGAGGATCGATCCATTCCCCGCTTGTCGTCGGACGAGGTGGCCGATGCCATCGTCAAGTCCCCCAAGCGCAAGTCTTCCGGCCCGGACAAGATCAAGGCCGAGATGCTGCACCCTGTCGCTCCCGTGGTCGCTCCCTGGCTCCGGGCCATCCTGCTGGCCGCCCTCAAGGCCTCCGTCGTCCCGACCGAGTGGAACACTGTCCTGATCCACCCGGTCTACAAGAACAAGGGTTCGATCCTCGATCCGGCCATGTACCGGCCCATCGGGTTGACCCAGGTCCTCCGCAAGATCGCCGAGCGAGTCCTGCTGCCGTTCCTCACCCGCGAGATCGGCATCATGGACATTGCCCAGGGAGGCTTCCGCCCGGACCGAGGCACCCTCGACCAGGTGTACTCGCTCGACGCTCTTGTCCGCATGAACAAGATCCGCGACGACGAGTACAGCCTGGTCTTCCTCGACATCAAGGCCGCCTACGACACTGTCTGGCGGGAGCGCCTCTGGGACAAGATCGCCAGCCCGAGGTGCTGGTCCGGTCGCCGTCGGGGTCCTCAGGGCCATGTTCGACCGCACTCTTGTCCGCGTCGCCAGCAAGGGCCGCACGTCGCAGCCTGTGTGGCTGCAGAAGGGTCTCATCCAAGGCTCGGTCCTGAGTCCCCTTCTGTTCAGTGCCCACATTGACGACCTGCCTGGACTGCTCCGAGCCGAGGACGGACTTGTGCTTGCCTCGAGTCGCCACCACCGTCTCCGGGTCAACTCGCTCTGGTTCGCCGATGACGGTGTCCTCATCTGTCCGGCTGGCCGCACCCAGGCCATGCTCGATATCTGCGAACGTCCACAGCATCGACAACCGCTACCGCTTCTCGCCTCCCAAGTGCGAGGTGCTGTACTCGGCCTGCAACGTCGACCAGCTCCATCCCGCCAAGCTGTACGGCACCGAGCTGCCCAAGGTCCTCCAGTTCCGCTACCTCGGTGTCATGGTCGACATTGACGGATTCCGCCCGGACCTCCAGTTCGACAAGCTCCTCCGCAAGGTCCACATGGTCACCGACACCGTGGTTGGACTCGGCATCACCCTCGGCAAGGTCTCGGCCAAGACCATCACCCAGGTCTACAAGACCTTTGTGCGGCCGACCCTCGAATACGGGATGGCCATGGACATCCCCGACCCGGCTCTGCGCGACCGCCTCGACGACGCCCAGATGACGGCCCTCCGCACCATGTTCCGCGTCGGTCCCCGGCACTCCCGTCGGTGCCATGCACCTCAACTGCGGCCTCCCCAAGATGTCGGTCCGTGTCAAGATGCTGGCCCTGCAGAACTGGGCCCGCTGGGACGACCAAGTCTCTGACGGCGACAAGATGCTGTCGATGATCCTGCGCAACAAGATCATTGCGCCCGTACCACCCCGACCAGTTCCTCGGCCAAGGAGTCCGAGCCGATCAGCACTGGGCCATGGTGGTCCGCCGACAAGAGGCCGACCACTCCCTCACGGCCACGGAGATCTACCGAGGCAAGACCCGACACCAGCCGCCGCCGCCAGGACCGCCCCGACCCCAACCCGTCCCGATCAAGACCCTCATCTTCGAGGACCACATGAAGAACGGCTTCGACCGCTCCAAGCAGCTCACCGCCGCCTGCACCCCGTCGACCAAGATGTCGGGACTCTGGGAGGCTCGCGGGTACCAAGGATCCATGATCATGCTCATGTTCATGGTCCGATGGCGACTCGGTGCTCTCCCAGGCCACTTCAGATTTGGCTACCGCAAGTGCAAGAACCTGGCTCGACACGGATCCGGGATCGACTTGACCAGGACCCACGCAGCAGCAGTGTGTGGATCCGCATCAAGTCCTGGTCCGCAAGGTCGCAGCCCTCAAGACGGCCCACCCGACTTGGGTGGAAAGTGGTATAGCCGGAGTGGGACCAGTGGACAAGCTGCTGGACCTGCTCAGTTTCGATCGCACTCCCCCTCGCAGTCGCACCCCTCCCGCACTTGGATCGCTTGCTGCTCATGTACCCGCTCCCCGCACTGCCTTCCGAGCATTCGCACTTGGTGCACACCCCGCACCACCACCCACTCCCACACCCAGTGTAGTCCCGCCCTTGCAGTCTCTCCCTGCACCCTCATCACAGCGTAGTATAGTGCCAGCACTTGTCACTCCACCACCCCGACCTCCCCTCGATCCTGCTGTTCCCTTGTGGGAACTGCTTGAAAATGTGTTCACCCGCTTGGTCTCAGACCTTGTGGGCAGCTGAGGCAGCACTAGGCTGCAACAGGAGTAAATAGGCTTGCCTGTGTACTCAACGTGCCGGGGTACCAACCTGTTGGACCTGATGGCTTGTCTTCTTGAATAAAGTTGACTATAGTAACAAAAAAAAAAAATCGGGGCGGTCAGGCAGGTCATGAGTCACCGGTGGGGGGACACATGATCGGCAGCCGAATTGCAACCAATCGCAGCAAGGCGCGTGCACAAACAAACCGGCGCGTGCGAAGAAGACAAAGGAAGCGGAGCAGCGCGGGAAAACGGAAGTGCGGAAGGAGCGGAAAAGACAGGCAAAGGGCGGAAAATTGGAGGGGAACTGCAAGGCTACACACAAACAAACAGAAAGGCAAAAGAACAGCCAAGTGTGCAGTCAAAGTGGAGAACAAGCAGGAGCTATCCCTAACACCACTTCAGGTTTGGATACCGCAAGTGCAAGAACCTGGCTCGACACGGATCCGGGATCGACTTGACCAGGACCCACGCACAGCAGTGTGTGGATCCGCATCAAGTCCTGGTCCGCAAGGTCGCAGCCCTCAAGACGGCCCACCCGACTTGGGTGGAAAGTGGTATAGCCGGAGTGGGACCAGTGGACAAGCTGCTGGACCGGCTCAGTTTCGATCGCACTCCCCCTCGCACTCGCACCCCTCCCGCACTTGGATCGCTTGCTGCTCATGTACCCGCTCCCCGCACTGCCTTCCGAGCATTCGCACTTGGTGCACACCCAGCACCACCACCCACTCCCACACCCAGTGTAGTCCCACCCTTGCAGTCTCTCCCTGCACCCTCATCACAGCGTAGTATAGTGCCAGCACTTGTCACTCCACCACCCCGACCTCCCCTCGATCCTGCTGTTCCCTTGTGGGAACTGCTTGAAAATGTGTTCACCCGCTTGGTCTCAGACCTTGTGGGCAGCTGAGGCAGCACTAGGCTGCAACAGGAGTAAATAGGCTTGCCTGTGTACTCAACGTGCCGGGGTACCAACCTGTTGGACCTGATGGCTTGTCTTCTTGAATAAAGTTGACTATAGTAACAAAAAAAAAACCTAACCTAACCTAACCTAACCGATTTCTATAAATAGCTATATTAATTATTAATCTTCCACCGCTTGTCACAGGTCAGACAGTGGGCGTATATGGTGCTGGCCTCGTCCGAAGAGCGATGCTGGGCCAGGATGAACTCGGTGTTATACGAGTCTCTGCCCATGCGAGCACAGTCGGTGCATTTCATCTGTCCGTCGGCTCCTCCGGACTTGCCGTTTGCCGCTGCTGCCGCCGTCGTGCCGGTGACCCCCTGGTCTTGTGCCAGCCAAGCGTCTGGACGAAGGTTCTGGTGTGTCAGATCATCCAGCCGGGAAGGATCTTGAATAGCGCCCGAGTCGAGCAAGCCGACGATGGCCTCCAGGTTCGACAGCATCATGATGGCGCGGGATTTGTATACGTCTCGGAACTGCGGGTTGATCCAGCTGCACACGCCCTTGTAGGTTGTGGTGGCATAGCGATAGATGCTCTCTTCCAAGACCTCGGCGTGGTCGGGCGTCTTTGCCTGGAGGGTCTGCAGGGCGATGCTACGCGGCGAGTCCATCGGGTGCTATTGCATATGCCGAGGATGAAACCCTTACAGCGTTTTTTCTGACACACCCTTCGCAGCAGACCAATGTCAAGTCAAATCTGGATCATCAGTGGCGGTTATAGCGCTGTGTTGCGTCTGCTCGTCGCTCCTGACCACAGGCGGAGGATTTGGACTCTACCAGTACAACAAGACCCACTCGACAACACCATGGTCCTGCGTCTACGTCCCGACCATCAAGATGTATACTGTTGCACGCATCAACCAGAACAACGCCGAGTGCATGTACAACACCGGTGGTAATGGCTGTTACTACTTCCCAGTGAATCCGGGTGCAGCCACCGGCGACGGTAGTGTCAGTCCGATGGATGAGTGTGCTAACATGATCCAAAACGTACCCACCCCGACCACACTGGCTTCCCAGCAGACGCTGAATCTCGACATCTACACCTGTGGACCCAACTCGACCAACTCCAAGCTCTGGAACCGCACAGGATACGAAGCAGCGAACGACCCGTGTGATGTCATTTTGAACAGCGACAATCGCTCGATCGTCAATATGCTCTTTGCACCGAGCACGACCTCCATCAACTCGGCATACCCACCACCTGCGGCTACTTCTTGAGCTTGCTCACGATGGATGCTGGTGATGGCATACCACCCGGTCCGCTGCTGCCGCTCCCAGAATCGATGCTTTGGTAAGCATAGTACCCGATGGCTGCAATCGACGAGATGCAGCAGCAACAGCAGAGGCATGCAGCAACCAGGGCAATGATCGCTGTCGAGTCGAGACCGGAAGTCGTCTGGTCAGACGAGAACTGACTCGATGTCTTGGTTGTATTGCCCTGTGCGATTTGAGTGATGGCTTTGTTGTCGAGCATGCACTGCTGGTATGATTTGTTGGAGTTGGACTGAATGATGCCGATTGCTGTGGCACAGGGTGCGAACTGGTTCTTCTGGATAGCGGAGAGCTGCGAAGCACACGAGTTCTGCAGGTTCAGGTATGTGCTCGTGTCCATGTTGGTGCTGACCAAGTTGCAGTTGTTGTTGGAGCTGGAGTTGCTGCCAGAGAGCAGGCCCTGAGCCTTCTGGATGGCGGATGCCACAGCCTGGCTATCCACGCTGTTGGTCTGGGCCATGAGTGTCTGGACCATCGATGTCATGGTGCACTGCTGAACGGCGTCATTCACATTGGTCTGGCTGATATTGGCCATGCTGCAGTCGTGGGTCTTGCAGTACTCACACTGTGAGTTGTCGATGACGTTTGTCTGGTAAGCGGCCATATTGTTGGAGCAAGCGTTGACGATGTTCTTGACGTCCGAGTCTGACATGGTGGTGCCGATGACATTGCGGGTCTGGTTGCTGACTTGATTGCTTCCGCTGTCAAACATACTCAAGGGGTCGAATGCCTTGACGACATTTGCGAGGCCTCCGGCAGCGGCCGTAATATTGTCTGCGGTCGATGAGATGGTCTTGCAGGCTTCTGCGGCATTGGCGCCAAACATGTTCTTTCCGGTATCGGCCTGCTCGAGCGACGGAGATGGATCGGCAAACATGTAGTATCCGAGGATGATGATCACGGCCAAGTATTCAAATAGGTACACTGGAACGGGCATCTCTTGCAATGGAGGGTGTGTGGCTACCATCGGGCGACAAAAAAACGCAGTAAGGCCTTCGATACACATGTATAGCATGACGCACCAGCGATGGAGCTGCCACTCGAAGTCTGGGGCGAGATCGCCTCGTTCCTCGACATCCGATCGTGCTTGGCACTGACACGCACCTGCCGCCGATTCCTCGCATTTCATCAACCTGCATGGGAGGATACGATCTACCAGTGCTGCATCAACACCCGCAGCCTCTCGCTGATCCAGGTGATCATGCGACCGATCCCGGTTCTGTGGCGGAACGAAAGCGTCCTTCGACACTACACGCGCTTCAGCTCGATGATGCACAAGGAAGCAATGGTCTGTGAACTGCTCCGCCGTGGCCCCACATCCACTAACGATCCTGGTTTCCGAATTCTGGAAATGTTGATCGCGTGTGGAGTGTCGCCGTACGGAGATATTGCTACCCGATGCATCATGTGCATCCAGAACCACGATGTCTTGGCACGTATCGTCCCTGTGATGACAGCCAACTGTGCCCGCAGGGGCGAGGAATCACTGGCGTTGTTTGCCAAGACCGCAGTTGAACGAGCGATACAGACATGTCGCCACGAATTCATTCAAGCCTTCCTCGGGCAAGTGACACTCGATCTGGTGGACAGCATGCACTACTTTGACTGGGATCTCATCAACGAAGCCATCTATGCCGAGAGCACGATCGTGCTGGATCTCTTCTTCCAACACCAATGGCCTCGCCCCAGGCAGGATATCGTCCAGCAAGCTGCCATCATTGGATCCAAGCGCAGCAGTGCTGTCGTTGTCGAATGGGCACTCGGCCACAATCAACTGGACGACCCTCGTGTGCTCCTCGGCCACATTGTCAGCCTCTCTCCCGAGATCCACGACCTGGTTCTCCGATTCTTCCCGAGCGAGGCGACCCGTCTCCTGAAGCGACTACTCAAGTCACATCCAAACTCCGACCCACAGCCCTTGATCTACTACTGCGTCTGTCGATCGCCGCAGATCGACGCGGGCGCCCTGGTGCTCACTGCGAGATACCAGAAACTCGAGTTCCTGCGATTCATGCTGGAGCAGATGAATCCGGAAACGTACGAGTCGGATCTGTGGTTCGACCTCCTCTGCAGCTCGGGACACAGCAACGCAACCGTGGCATTCGTGCTGCACCACCACTGCTACAGCACCAAGGAGCAAGTCGATGCACTGCGCCGATTTGTGGTGTTTGGATTCGAGCCTGGAACCAATGTGATTCTAGACATGCTCGACGATCGCGATCTTCCCGACGATATCTTGTTCCGGGCATACTTCAACATCAGCGAGTTCACTGGGATCTGTGTGTACACCCTGTTGCGTCGGGTGCTGCACATCCCCAGGATCATTGGATTCCAGGAAATGGGCGAGACCGTCCTGGAGCGGGTGATCCGCTTGCGAATGTGGTCGCACATCGTGCCTCTGGTGGATGCCGGGGTGCGGGTGTGCAATTCGCATGTGTTGCTGGCGAATGTGTATGCATGTCCCAACCGCATTTCGTGTAAGCTGGTCGTGAATGCGCCCCAGGAGGGTGAATAAAAGTCAGCTCTCTCTTGTAGAGCATCACATTCTGTTAGAGTCCAGAGGGGACTCAACGGCAAAAGAAGAAGTGAGCTCGAAGTGAGCTCAGGGAAGGCAAGGGTAAAGTCCGAAGTGGACTCGGAGAGGGAGCGAGGAAATTAAAGATCCGTTCAAGATAAGACTTGTCTCGAAATGAGACGTGAGGAACACTCAGAGAATAAAGTAGAAGGCACTTTATTTAGTCCTATTTTGAACGCTGAGGTTCGACTACACATCGCGGGGGTCAGGCTATTTATAGACAAGTCCGGACTTGGCAGCGAAGGGCGGCCAAGGGAGGGAAAAGTGGGCGATCGAGCAGGGCGAAGGGGGCGATGCACGAACGAGGGCCGAGAAGGACCACCGAGACAGGCAGAGAACCAAAGCGAGAGAGGCGCAAGCAAAAGCGAAGCACCTGGCAGGAGAAACGTGCGAAGGCGAAGCAATGTGACTCAACATCCAAGAAGCGGATTGGTCAAAGAAAAGATTGGGGTGAGCGCATGGGAGATGAACAAGAGATCGGGGCGGTCAGGCAGGTCATGAGTCACCGGTGGGGGGACACATGATCGGCAGCCGAATTGCAACCAATCGCAGCAAGGCGCGTGCACAAACAAACCGGCGCGTGCGAAGAAGACAAAGGAAGCGGAGCAGCGCGGGAAAACGGAAGTGCGGAAGGAGCGGAAAAGACAGGCAAAGGGCGGAAAATTGGAGGGGAACTGCAAGGCTACACACAAACAAACAGAAAGGCAAAAGAACAGCCAAGTGTGCAGTCAAAGTGGAGAACAAGCAGGAGCTATCCCTAACACCACTTCAGGTTTGGATACCGCAAGTGCAAGAACCTGGCTCGACACGGATCCGGGATCGACTTGACCAGGACCCACGCACAGCAGTGTGTGGATCCGCATCAAGTCCTGGTCCGCAAGGTCGCAGCCCTCAAGACGGCCCACCCGACTTGGGTGGAAAGTGGTATAGCCGGAGTGGGACCAGTGGACAAGCTGCTGGACCGGCTCAGTTTCGATCGCACTCCCCCTCGCACTCGCACCCCTCCCGCACTTGGATCGCTTGCTGCTCATGTACCCGCTCCCCGCACTGCCTTCCGAGCATTCGCACTTGGTGCACACCCAGCACCACCACCCACTCCCACACCCAGTGTAGTCCCACCCTTGCAGTCTCTCCCTGCACCCTCATCACAGCGTAGTATAGTGCCAGCACTTGTCACTCCACCACCCCGACCTCCCCTCGATCCTGCTGTTCCCTTGTGGGAACTGCTTGAAAATGTGTTCACCCGCTTGGTCTCAGACCTTGTGGGCAGCTGAGGCAGCACTAGGCTGCAACAGGAGTAAATAGGCTTGCCTGTGTACTCAACGTGCCGGGGTACCAACCTGTTGGACCTGATGGCTTGTCTTCTTGAATAAAGTTGACTATAGTAACAAAAAAAAAACCTAACCTAACCTAACCTAACCGATTTCTATAAATAGCTATATTAATTATTAATCTTCCACCGCTTGTCACAGGTCAGACAGTGGGCGTATATGGTGCTGGCCTCGTCCGAAGAGCGATGCTGGGCCAGGATGAACTCGGTGTTATACGAGTCTCTGCCCATGCGAGCACAGTCGGTGCATTTCATCTGTCCGTCGGCTCCTCCGGACTTGCCGTTTGCCGCTGCTGCCGCCGTCGTGCCGGTGACCCCCTGGTCTTGTGCCAGCCAAGCGTCTGGACGAAGGTTCTGGTGTGTCAGATCATCCAGCCGGGAAGGATCTTGAATAGCGCCCGAGTCGAGCAAGCCGACGATGGCCTCCAGGTTCGACAGCATCATGATGGCGCGGGATTTGTATACGTCTCGGAACTGCGGGTTGATCCAGCTGCACACGCCCTTGTAGGTTGTGGTGGCATAGCGATAGATGCTCTCTTCCAAGACCTCGGCGTGGTCGGGCGTCTTTGCCTGGAGGGTCTGCAGGGCGATGCTACGCGGCGAGTCCATCGGGTGCTATTGCATATGCCGAGGATGAAACCCTTACAGCGTTTTTTCTGACACACCCTTCGCAGCAGACCAATGTCAAGTCAAATCTGGATCATCATGGCCGTTATAGCGCTGTGTTGCGTCTGCTCGTCGCTCCTGACCACAGGCGGAGGATTTGGACTCTACCAGTACAACAAGACCCACTCGACAACACCATGGTCCTGCGTCTACGTCCCGACCATCAAGATGTATACTGTTGCACGCATCAACCAGAACAACGCCGAGTGCATGTACAACACCGGTGGTAATGGCTGTTACTACTTCCCAGTGAATCCGGGTGCAGCCACCGGCGACGGTAGTGTCAGTCCGATGGATGAGTGTGCTAACATGATCCAAAACGTACCCACCCCGACCACACTGGCTTCCCAGCAGACGCTGAATCTCGACATCTACACCTGTGGACCCAACTCGACCAACTCCAAGCTCTGGAACCGCACAGGATACGAAGCAGCGAACGACCCGTGTGATGTCATTTTGAACAGCGACAATCGCTCGATCGTCAATATGCTCTTTGCACCGAGCACGACCTCCATCAACTCGGCATACCCACCACCTGCGGCTACTTCTTGAGCTTGCTCACGATGGATGCTGGTGATGGCATACCACCCGGTCCGCTGCTGCCGCTCCCAGAATCGATGCTTTGGTAAGCATAGTACCCGATGGCTGCAATCGACGAGATGCAGCAGCAACAGCAGAGGCATGCAGCAACCAGGGCAATGATCGCTGTCGAGTCGAGACCGGAAGTCGTCTGGTCAGACGAGAACTGACTCGATGTCTTGGTTGTATTGCCCTGTGCGATTTGAGTGATGGCTTTGTTGTCGAGCATGCACTGCTGGTATGATTTGTTGGAGTTGGACTGAATGATGCCGATTGCTGTGGCACAGGGTGCGAACTGGTTCTTCTGGATAGCGGAGAGCTGCGAAGCACACGAGTTCTGCAGGTTCAGGTATGTGCTCGTGTCCATGTTGGTGCTGACCAAGTTGCAGTTGTTGTTGGAGCTGGAGTTGCTGCCAGAGAGCAGGCCCTGAGCCTTCTGGATGGCGGATGCCACAGCCTGGCTATCCACGCTGTTGGTCTGGGCCATGAGTGTCTGGACCATCGATGTCATGGTGCACTGCTGAACGGCGTCATTCACATTGGTCTGGCTGATATTGGCCATGCTGCAGTCGTGGGTCTTGCAGTACTCACACTGTGAGTTGTCGATGACGTTTGTCTGGTAAGCGGCCATATTGTTGGAGCAAGCGTTGACGATGTTCTTGACGTCCGAGTCTGACATGGTGGTGCCGATGACATTGCGGGTCTGGTTGCTGACTTGATTGCTTCCGCTGTCAAACATACTCAAGGGGTCGAATGCCTTGACGACATTTGCGAGGCCTCCGGCAGCGGCCGTAATATTGTCTGCGGTCGATGAGATGGTCTTGCAGGCTTCTGCGGCATTGGCGCCAAACATGTTCTTTCCGGTATCGGCCTGCTCGAGCGACGGAGATGGATCGGCAAACATGTAGTATCCGAGGATGATGATCACGGCCAAGTATTCAAATAGGTACACTGGAACGGGCATCTCTTGCAATGGAGGGTGTGTGGCTACCATCGGGCGACAAAAAAACGCAGTAAGGCCTTCGATACACATGTATAGCATGACGCACCAGCGATGGAGCTGCCACTCGAAGTCTGGGGCGAGATCGCCTCGTTCCTCGACATCCGATCGTGCTTGGCACTGACACGCACCTGCCGCCGATTCCTCGCATTTCATCAACCTGCATGGGAGGATACGATCTACCAGTGCTGCATCAACACCCGCAGCCTCTCGCTGATCCAGGTGATCATGCGACCGATCCCGGTTCTGTGGCGGAACGAAAGCGTCCTTCGACACTACACGCGCTTCAGCTCGATGATGCACAAGGAAGCAATGGTCTGTGAACTGCTCCGCCGTGGCCCCACATCCACTAACGATCCTGGTTTCCGAATTCTGGAAATGTTGATCGCGTGTGGAGTGTCGCCGTACGGAGATATTGCTACCCGATGCATCATGTGCATCCAGAACCACGATGTCTTGGCACGTATCGTCCCTGTGATGACAGCCAACTGTGCCCGCAGGGGCGAGGAATCACTGGCGTTGTTTGCCAAGACCGCAGTTGAACGAGCGATACAGACATGTCGCCACGAATTCATTCAAGCCTTCCTCGGGCAAGTGACACTCGATCTGGTGGACAGCATGCACTACTTTGACTGGGATCTCATCAACGAAGCCATCTATGCCGAGAGCACGATCGTGCTGGATCTCTTCTTCCAACACCAATGGCCTCGCCCCAGGCAGGATATCGTCCAGCAAGCTGCCATCATTGGATCCAAGCGCAGCAGTGCTGTCGTTGTCGAATGGGCACTCGGCCACAATCAACTGGACGACCCTCGTGTGCTCCTCGGCCACATTGTCAGCCTCTCTCCCGAGATCCACGACCTGGTTCTCCGATTCTTCCCGAGCGAGGCGACCCGTCTCCTGAAGCGACTACTCAAGTCACATCCAAACTCCGACCCACAGCCCTTGATCTACTACTGCGTCTGTCGATCGCCGCAGATCGACGCGGGCGCCCTGGTGCTCACTGCGAGATACCAGAAACTCGAGTTCCTGCGATTCATGCTGGAGCAGATGAATCCGGAAACGTACGAGTCGGATCTGTGGTTCGACCTCCTCTGCAGCTCGGGACACAGCAACGCAACCGTGGCATTCGTGCTGCACCACCACTGCTACAGCACCAAGGAGCAAGTCGATGCACTGCGCCGATTTGTGGTGTTTGGATTCGAGCCTGGAACCAATGTGATTCTAGACATGCTCGACGATCGCGATCTTCCCGACGATATCTTGTTCCGGGCATACTTCAACATCAGCGAGTTCACTGGGATCTGTGTGTACACCCTGTTGCGTCGGGTGCTGCACATCCCCAGGATCATTGGATTCCAGGAAATGGGCGAGACCGTCCTGGAGCGGGTGATCCGCTTGCGAATGTGGTCGCACATCGTGCCTCTGGTGGATGCCGGGGTGCGGGTGTGCAATTCGCATGTGTTGCTGGCGAATGTGTATGCATGTCCCAACCGCATTTCGTGTAAGCTGGTCGTGAATGCGCCCCAGGAGGGTGAATAAAAGTCAGCTCTCTCTTGTAGAGCATCACATTCTGTTAGAGTCCAGAGGGGACTCAACGGCAAAAGAAGAAGTGAGCTCGAAGTGAGCTCAGGGAAGGCAAGGGTAAAGTCCGAAGTGGACTCGGAGAGGGAGCGAGGAAATTAAAGATCCGTTCAAGATAAGACTTGTCTCGAAATGAGACGTGAGGAACACTCAGAGAATAAAGTAGAAGGCACTTTATTTAGTCCTATTTTGAACGCTGAGGTTCGACTACACATCGCGGGGGTCAGGCTATTTATAGACAAGTCCGGACTTGGCAGCGAAGGGCGGCCAAGGGAGGGAAAAGTGGGCGATCGAGCAGGGCGAAGGGGGCGATGCACGAACGAGGGCCGAGAAGGACCACCGAGACAGGCAGAGAACCAAAGCGAGAGAGGCGCAAGCAAAAGCGAAGCACCTGGCAGGAGAAACGTGCGAAGGCGAAGCAATGTGACTCAACATCCAAGAAGCGGATTGGTCAAAGAAAAGATTGGGGTGAGCGCATGGGAGATGAACAAGAGATCGGGGCGGTCAGGCAGGTCATGAGTCACCGGTGGGGGGACACATGATCGGCAGCCGAATTGCAACCAATCGCAGCAAGGCGCGTGCACAAACAAACCGGCGCGTGCGAAGAAGACAAAGGAAGCGGAGCAGCGCGGGAAAACGGAAGTGCGGAAGGAGCGGAAAAGACAGGCAAAGGGCGGAAAATTGGAGGGGAACTGCAAGGCTACACACAAACAAACAGAAAGGCAAAAGAACAGCCAAGTGTGCAGTCAAAGTGGAGAACAAGCAGGAGCTATCCCTAACACCACTTCAGGTTTGGATACCGCAAGTGCAAGAACCTGGCTCGACACGGATCCGGGATCGACTTGACCAGGACCCACGCACAGCAGTGTGTGGATCCGCATCAAGTCCTGGTCCGCAAGGTCGCAGCCCTCAAGACGGCCCACCCGACTTGGGTGGAAAGTGGTATAGCCGGAGTGGGACCAGTGGACAAGCTGCTGGACCGGCTCAGTTTCGATCGCACTCCCCCTCGCACTCGCACCCCTCCCGCACTTGGATCGCTTGCTGCTCATGTACCCGCTCCCCGCACTGCCTTCCGAGCATTCGCACTTGGTGCACACCCAGCACCACCACCCACTCCCACACCCAGTGTAGTCCCACCCTTGCAGTCTCTCCCTGCACCCTCATCACAGCGTAGTATAGTGCCAGCACTTGTCACTCCACCACCCCGACCTCCCCTCGATCCTGCTGTTCCCTTGTGGGAACTGCTTGAAAATGTGTTCACCCGCTTGGTCTCAGACCTTGTGGGCAGCTGAGGCAGCACTAGGCTGCAACAGGAGTAAATAGGCTTGCCTGTGTACTCAACGTGCCGGGGTACCAACCTGTTGGACCTGATGGCTTGTCTTCTTGAATAAAGTTGACTATAGTAACAAAAAAAAAAACCTAACCTAACCTAACCTAACCGATTTCTATAAATAGCTATATTAATTATTAATCTTCCACCGCTTGTCACAGGTCAGACAGTGGGCGTATATGGTGCTGGCCTCGTCCGAAGAGCGATGCTGGGCCAGGATGAACTCGGTGTTATACGAGTCTCTGCCCATGCGAGCACAGTCGGTGCATTTCATCTGTCCGTCGGCTCCTCCGGACTTGCCGTTTGCCGCTGCTGCCGCCGTCGTGCCGGTGACCCCCTGGTCTTGTGCCAGCCAAGCGTCTGGACGAAGGTTCTGGTGTGTCAGATCATCCAGCCGGGAAGGATCTTGAATAGCGCCCGAGTCGAGCAAGCCGACGATGGCCTCCAGGTTCGACAGCATCATGATGGCGCGGGATTTGTATACGTCTCGGAACTGCGGGTTGATCCAGCTGCACACGCCCTTGTAGGTTGTGGTGGCATAGCGATAGATGCTCTCTTCCAAGACCTCGGCGTGGTCGGGCGTCTTTGCCTGGAGGGTCTGCAGGGCGATGCTACGCGGCGAGTCCATCGGGTGCTATTGCATATGCCGAGGATGAAACCCTTACAGCGTTTTTTCTGACACACCCTTCGCAGCAGACCAATGTCAAGTCAAATCTGGATCATCATGGCCGTTATAGCGCTGTGTTGCGTCTGCTCGTCGCTCCTGACCACAGGCGGAGGATTTGGACTCTACCAGTACAACAAGACCCACTCGACAACACCATGGTCCTGCGTCTACGTCCCGACCATCAAGATGTATACTGTTGCACGCATCAACCAGAACAACGCCGAGTGCATGTACAACACCGGTGGTAATGGCTGTTACTACTTCCCAGTGAATCCGGGTGCAGCCACCGGCGACGGTAGTGTCAGTCCGATGGATGAGTGTGCTAACATGATCCAAAACGTACCCACCCCGACCACACTGGCTTCCCAGCAGACGCTGAATCTCGACATCTACACCTGTGGACCCAACTCGACCAACTCCAAGCTCTGGAACCGCACAGGATACGAAGCAGCGAACGACCCGTGTGATGTCATTTTGAACAGCGACAATCGCTCGATCGTCAATATGCTCTTTGCACCGAGCACGACCTCCATCAACTCGGCATACCCACCACCTGCGGCTACTTCTTGAGCTTGCTCACGATGGATGCTGGTGATGGCATACCACCCGGTCCGCTGCTGCCGCTCCCAGAATCGATGCTTTGGTAAGCATAGTACCCGATGGCTGCAATCGACGAGATGCAGCAGCAACAGCAGAGGCATGCAGCAACCAGGGCAATGATCGCTGTCGAGTCGAGACCGGAAGTCGTCTGGTCAGACGAGAACTGACTCGATGTCTTGGTTGTATTGCCCTGTGCGATTTGAGTGATGGCTTTGTTGTCGAGCATGCACTGCTGGTATGATTTGTTGGAGTTGGACTGAATGATGCCGATTGCTGTGGCACAGGGTGCGAACTGGTTCTTCTGGATAGCGGAGAGCTGCGAAGCACACGAGTTCTGCAGGTTCAGGTATGTGCTCGTGTCCATGTTGGTGCTGACCAAGTTGCAGTTGTTGTTGGAGCTGGAGTTGCTGCCAGAGAGCAGGCCCTGAGCCTTCTGGATGGCGGATGCCACAGCCTGGCTATCCACGCTGTTGGTCTGGGCCATGAGTGTCTGGACCATCGATGTCATGGTGCACTGCTGAACGGCGTCATTCACATTGGTCTGGCTGATATTGGCCATGCTGCAGTCGTGGGTCTTGCAGTACTCACACTGTGAGTTGTCGATGACGTTTGTCTGGTAAGCGGCCATATTGTTGGAGCAAGCGTTGACGATGTTCTTGACGTCCGAGTCTGACATGGTGGTGCCGATGACATTGCGGGTCTGGTTGCTGACTTGATTGCTTCCGCTGTCAAACATACTCAAGGGGTCGAATGCCTTGACGACATTTGCGAGGCCTCCGGCAGCGGCCGTAATATTGTCTGCGGTCGATGAGATGGTCTTGCAGGCTTCTGCGGCATTGGCGCCAAACATGTTCTTTCCGGTATCGGCCTGCTCGAGCGACGGAGATGGATCGGCAAACATGTAGTATCCGAGGATGATGATCACGGCCAAGTATTCAAATAGGTACACTGGAACGGGCATCTCTTGCAATGGAGGGTGTGTGGCTACCATCGGGCGACAAAAAAACGCAGTAAGGCCTTCGATACACATGTATAGCATGACGCACCAGCGATGGAGCTGCCACTCGAAGTCTGGGGCGAGATCGCCTCGTTCCTCGACATCCGATCGTGCTTGGCACTGACACGCACCTGCCGCCGATTCCTCGCATTTCATCAACCTGCATGGGAGGATACGATCTACCAGTGCTGCATCAACACCCGCAGCCTCTCGCTGATCCAGGTGATCATGCGACCGATCCCGGTTCTGTGGCGGAACGAAAGCGTCCTTCGACACTACACGCGCTTCAGCTCGATGATGCACAAGGAAGCAATGGTCTGTGAACTGCTCCGCCGTGGCCCCACATCCACTAACGATCCTGGTTTCCGAATTCTGGAAATGTTGATCGCGTGTGGAGTGTCGCCGTACGGAGATATTGCTACCCGATGCATCATGTGCATCCAGAACCACGATGTCTTGGCACGTATCGTCCCTGTGATGACAGCCAACTGTGCCCGCAGGGGCGAGGAATCACTGGCGTTGTTTGCCAAGACCGCAGTTGAACGAGCGATACAGACATGTCGCCACGAATTCATTCAAGCCTTCCTCGGGCAAGTGACACTCGATCTGGTGGACAGCATGCACTACTTTGACTGGGATCTCATCAACGAAGCCATCTATGCCGAGAGCACGATCGTGCTGGATCTCTTCTTCCAACACCAATGGCCTCGCCCCAGGCAGGATATCGTCCAGCAAGCTGCCATCATTGGATCCAAGCGCAGCAGTGCTGTCGTTGTCGAATGGGCACTCGGCCACAATCAACTGGACGACCCTCGTGTGCTCCTCGGCCACATTGTCAGCCTCTCTCCCGAGATCCACGACCTGGTTCTCCGATTCTTCCCGAGCGAGGCGACCCGTCTCCTGAAGCGACTACTCAAGTCACATCCAAACTCCGACCCACAGCCCTTGATCTACTACTGCGTCTGTCGATCGCCGCAGATCGACGCGGGCGCCCTGGTGCTCACTGCGAGATACCAGAAACTCGAGTTCCTGCGATTCATGCTGGAGCAGATGAATCCGGAAACGTACGAGTCGGATCTGTGGTTCGACCTCCTCTGCAGCTCGGGACACAGCAACGCAACCGTGGCATTCGTGCTGCACCACCACTGCTACAGCACCAAGGAGCAAGTCGATGCACTGCGCCGATTTGTGGTGTTTGGATTCGAGCCTGGAACCAATGTGATTCTAGACATGCTCGACGATCGCGATCTTCCCGACGATATCTTGTTCCGGGCATACTTCAACATCAGCGAGTTCACTGGGATCTGTGTGTACACCCTGTTGCGTCGGGTGCTGCACATCCCCAGGATCATTGGATTCCAGGAAATGGGCGAGACCGTCCTGGAGCGGGTGATCCGCTTGCGAATGTGGTCGCACATCGTGCCTCTGGTGGATGCCGGGGTGCGGGTGTGCAATTCGCATGTGTTGCTGGCGAATGTGTATGCATGTCCCAACCGCATTTCGTGTAAGCTGGTCGTGAATGCGCCCCAGGAGGGTGAATAAAAGTCAGCTCTCTCTTGTAGAGCATCACATTCTGTTAGAGTCCAGAGGGGACTCAACGGCAAAAGAAGAAGTGAGCTCGAAGTGAGCTCAGGGAAGGCAAGGGTAAAGTCCGAAGTGGACTCGGAGAGGGAGCGAGGAAATTAAAGATCCGTTCAAGATAAGACTTGTCTCGAAATGAGACGTGAGGAACACTCAGAGAATAAAGTAGAAGGCACTTTATTTAGTCCTATTTTGAACGCTGAGGTTCGACTACACATCGCGGGGGTCAGGCTATTTATAGACAAGTCCGGACTTGGCAGCGAAGGGCGGCCAAGGGAGGGAAAAGTGGGCGATCGAGCAGGGCGAAGGGGGCGATGCACGAACGAGGGCCGAGAAGGACCACCGAGACAGGCAGAGAACCAAAGCGAGAGAGGCGCAAGCAAAAGCGAAGCACCTGGCAGGAGAAACGTGCGAAGGCGAAGCAATGTGACTCAACATCCAAGAAGCGGATTGGTCAAAGAAAAGATTGGGGTGAGCGCATGGGAGATGAACAAGAGATCGGGGCGGTCAGGCAGGTCATGAGTCACCGGTGGGGGGACACATGATCGGCAGCCGAATTGCAACCAATCGCAGCAAGGCGCGTGCACAAACAAACCGGCGCGTGCGAAGAAGACAAAGGAAGCGGAGCAGCGCGGGAAAACGGAAGTGCGGAAGGAGCGGAAAAGACAGGCAAAGGGCGGAAAATTGGAGGGGAACTGCAAGGCTACACACAAACAAACAGAAAGGCAAAAGAACAGCCAAGTGTGCAGTCAAAGTGGAGAACAAGCAGGAGCTATCCCTAACACCACTTCAGGTTTGGATACCGCAAGTGCAAGAACCTGGCTCGACACGGATCCGGGATCGACTTGACCAGGACCCACGCACAGCAGTGTGTGGATCCGCATCAAGTCCTGGTCCGCAAGGTCGCAGCCCTCAAGACGGCCCACCCGACTTGGGTGGAAAGTGGTATAGCCGGAGTGGGACCAGTGGACAAGCTGCTGGACCGGCTCAGTTTCGATCGCACTCCCCCTCGCACTCGCACCCCTCCCGCACTTGGATCGCTTGCTGCTCATGTACCCGCTCCCCGCACTGCCTTCCGAGCATTCGCACTTGGTGCACACCCAGCACCACCACCCACTCCCACACCCAGTGTAGTCCCACCCTTGCAGTCTCTCCCTGCACCCTCATCACAGCGTAGTATAGTGCCAGCACTTGTCACTCCACCACCCCGACCTCCCCTCGATCCTGCTGTTCCCTTGTGGGAACTGCTTGAAAATGTGTTCACCCGCTTGGTCTCAGACCTTGTGGGCAGCTGAGGCAGCACTAGGCTGCAACAGGAGTAAATAGGCTTGCCTGTGTACTCAACGTGCCGGGGTACCAACCTGTTGGACCTGATGGCTTGTCTTCTTGAATAAAGTTGACTATAGTAACAAAAAAAAAAACCTAACCTAACCTAACCTAACCGATTTCTATAAATAGCTATATTAATTATTAATCTTCCACCGCTTGTCACAGGTCAGACAGTGGGCGTATATGGTGCTGGCCTCGTCCGAAGAGCGATGCTGGGCCAGGATGAACTCGGTGTTATACGAGTCTCTGCCCATGCGAGCACAGTCGGTGTCAAGACTGGACAACGGGGCAAGCAGGGAAGTGCGCAAGAGTCCTAATGCAAGACTCGAACGTAGGGAGAGGAGCGGGGACTGGACTGGGACACAGAGTGTCAAGTGTAAAGCCAAAGTTTTATTCTAGATCCAAGGCTTAGGATACTAAAAATACAAAGTGGCAAGACGAAGGCAAAAGACAGAGGCTGGTCGGAGGGCTATTTATGCGAGCGCCAAGGATCGACGCTGCAGAGCGAGGGGGCAGGAGCGAAGCAGCGGCGGGGAGGGCGAAGCCGCGAGCGAAGCAGGTGGCGGCCGTGACTCGGGATCCGTGAGTCAGCGGGCGTCAGTGGCGGCGGCATGGCGGCGCCAAGGCGTCAGGCGGCGTCGAGGTGGCGTCGTGGGCGTAACCCATGACCAACAGCAAGGAAGCGGGAACGGAACACAGACAGCGCGCGTGCTGGCGATAAGACAACAAGGCAGCACAGCGCGGGAAACAAACAAACAGAAGGAAGGGAAAGCACTAAGGCAGGCGAACAGAAAGGGAAGGGCAAGGGTAAAGGAAGGAAGTGGGCAAGGCAGAGGGTGTTCATGACACTACCCCCCTCTCAAGGCCCGAGCTCCGAGAGGGCCAGGCTTCGAGGGATGAGAGGAGTGGTAGGCTGCGACAGGCTCCGGACAATGTGCAAGATTGCTGGCGGGCTCCCAGGTGCAATCCGTCACCGTGTAGCCACGCCAGTGCACAAGATACTGGAGCTTACCTCGGAACAGCCTGGAGTCCAGGATCTGTTCGACTTCCCATTCGTCGTGGCCGTTGACTTGGATGGGTGGAGGGGGCGGGATGATTCGACCTGGGATCTTGTCGTCGGCGGCGGGCTCGAGCAGGGAGACGTGGAAGACAGGATGAATGCGCATGGACGAGGGCAAGTCCAACTTGAAAGCGCGGGAACCGACTTGAGCGACGATCTTGAACGGCCCAAGCTTGGTGTGGTCGAGCTTGGCCGTGGGTCGCTGGGTCTTGATGTTCTTGGCGGAGAGCCAGACTCGGTCTCCAACCTTGAACGGAGGGGAAGGGGAGTGGCCGGGGTCGTAGAACCTGGCTTGGGAGTCCTGGGCGAGGGCGAGGGCGATGTTAAACTTGAGTTCATCATGGAGGGAATGGATGATCCGGGCTTGATCGTCGGCGACGGAGGCATTCTTGGTGGTGCGGGGAAGGGCGACGGAAAAACGAGGGTGGTAGCCGGTGTAGGCAAAGAAGGGAGAGCAGCCGAGGGTTGCTTGAGAGGTGTTGTTGTAGGTGAACTCGGCGTGGGGGAGAAGCTGGGCCCAGTCGTCTTGCTGGAAGTTGATGAAGCAGCGGAGGTACTGCTCGAGGATGGCGTTGACCCGCTCGGTCTGGCCGTCGGTCTGCGGATGGAAGGCAGTCGACATCTTGTGCTTGATCTTGAGGCGGGTCAGGACGGCTTGGAAGAACTTGGAGGCAAAGGTAGATCCTCGGTCTGAGACGATATCGTCTGGAAGACCGTGCTTGGTGAAGACATGCTCGACAAACATCCGAGCAGTGTCCTCGGCGTTGGCCTCGTTGCTTGACGGGACGAAGTGGGCCATCTTGGTGAATCGGTCGACAAACACACAGATGGCTGTGTGTCCGGAGGATTCGGGGAGCTGGGTGATGAAGTCGACCGAAACAGAAGACCAAGGGCGATCGGGAACAGGGAGCGAGGCAAGGAGTCCGTAGGGCTTGTGACGGGAGTGCTTGTTCCGCTGGCAGGTGTCGCATCCGGAGACATACTCCTTGATGTAACGACGCATGGTCGGCCAGTGGAAGGTCCGGGAGACGAGCTCGAAGGTCTTGGCGACGCCGAAGTGGCCGGCAGTCGGCGAGTCGTGGCACTCGACGAGGATCTTGCGCTTGAGCTCGGGGACATCGGGGACGCAGACGAGACCTTCAAAGAGCAGAAGGTCGTTGTCGACGGAGTAGCCGGGACAGGAGGCAGGGTTCTTGAGGACTTGGGACAGGATCGGACCAAAGGTAGAGTCCTTCTTGAGGTTTGACTTGATGAGGACGGCGATATCCTCGGACTCGGGGGCAACGGGAACAGCTCGGAGGGCGGAAACGAAGAGTTTTGGTGGCAGCAGGGTCTGGGTGTTCGGGGAGCTACGGGAGTCACCCCCCTCCTTAGGGAACTTGTCCTTGCGGGAGAGGGCGTCGGCGGCATTGTTGAGGGTTCCGGGTCGATACCTGATGACGAAGTTGTAATCGCCAAGGATCTCGGACCAACGGACTTGGCGACGGCTGAGATTGCGGGAGGTCTGGAAGTATTCGAGGTTCTTGTGGTCGGTGACGACCTCGGTGGCTTGGGAGGAGAACTCGAGGTAGTGTCTCCATTGTTTGAAGGCTGCGACGATGGCGAGAAGTTCCTTATCATAGATTTGATAATTCATTTCTGCATCGAGCAGCTTCCGGGAGTAGAAGGCGACGGGGTGGAGGAGGCCTTCGTCGTCGCGCTGACTGAGAACAGCGCCAAGAGCATAGTCAGATGCGTCGGCTTCGATGACGCACTGACGCTCGGGGTCGAAGTGGCGGAGGACAGGACCGGTGCTCAGGCATTCCTTAAGCTTCAGGAATGACGTTTGAGCCGAGGGAGACCAGGAGAACTTGATGTCCTTCTTCAGGAGGTCCGTCAGCGGGGTGGCGATCTTGGAGTAGTCCTTGACGAACCGGCGGTAGAAGTTCGCCAGGCCGAGGAAGACTTGGATGTCGTGGGCCGATCGGGGGATCTCCCACTCCTGGATGGCCTTGACCTTGTCGGGATCCATGGAGATTCCATCGGGCGAGATGATGAACCCGAGGAAGGCGACGGAGGACTGGTCGAACTCACACTTTTCAAGCTTGAGTGAGAGTCCGGCGTCTTGGAGCTTGGTCAGGACTTTCTTGACATGAGCCTCGTGCTCGGCAGGATCGGAGGAGTAGATCAGGATGTCGTCCAGGTAGACGACCACGAACTGGTCAAGGTATTCTCGGAGGACATCGTTGACGAAGGCTTGGAACGAGGCAGGAGCGTTGGTCAAGCCGAACGGCATGACGCTGTACTCGAAATGGCCGTAGCGGCAGCGGAAGGCCGTCTTCCACTCTTCACCTTCAGCGATGCGCAAGAGATTGTATGCGCCTCGCATGTCGAGCTTGGTGAAGATCTTGGCCTTGCCGAGGTTGTCGAACGTCTCGGCAATCAGAGGAAGGGGACAACGGTTCGGTACGGTGATCTTGTTCAGGGCCCGGTAGTCGACGCAGAGACGGAGGGAGCCATCCTTCTTCTTGACGAACAGGACTGGGGCACCGGCAGGGGACTCGGAACGGCGGATGAAACCCTTGGACAAGTTCTCTTGGATGTAGGTGTGGAGGGCGTCCATCTCCGGCTTGGAGAGGTTGTAGACGGGCCCAAACGACGGAGACGCACCTTCGACCAACGGGATCGTGTGGTCGTAAGGGCGGTGCTGGGGGAGCTTGTCGGCCTCGGACTTGGAAAACACCTTGGCAAAGGACGAGTACTTGGAGGGGACAGAGGGCTCGGCCTTGGGCTTGGCTCCAGCGTCGACGGAGCAGAGGGACAGGACTCGGGCAGCATCCAAGAGGAACACTTCCAGGCCTTCCTTCTGGACGGCGTGCTGGAAGGGGATGCTGCCGATCAGGCTGACGCTGGGCGGGGACTGGGTCTTGGTCTTGGGGACGGCAGGAGGCAAGGCAGGACTGGGCTTGGGCACGGCAGGAGGCAAGGCAGGAATGATCTCGGGCTCGGCTGGGGACTCGGCAGGAACAATCTTGGACTCGGGCAGGGACACGGCAGGCTCGGCGGGGACCTCAGCAGGGGACTCGGCAGGCGGCTCGGCAGGGCTGGACCTAGAGGACTGTGGCTCGGGAGAGAACGGGGAGGCCAAACTGTGGATAGAGGTGCAAGGCAAGAAAATAGAGTCATGGTGCCAGTCAAAGTAGGGTTTGTGTTTCTTGATCCAATCCATACCCAAGATGATCGGGTATGAAGCCAAGGGAATCAGCGCGAACGAGATTTGTTCATAGTGGCTGATGCCTGTGATCATAGAAACACAAACTCCAAGACTAGACTCCATCGAAGAACCATCGGCAAGAGTGATGACGAAAGAAGTTGCAAAGGTGGGGAGAGCGTGGGTTGCGGCGAATCCAGTGTCCATAAACGAAGTAACCGCGCCGGTATCGATCATGGCGGTTGCCCGTATGGACTCTGGACCGCACAGCAGAGTCACAGCGAGGGAGGGCTGACGTTGGATGTCAGGCTCGGGAGGCGAAGACGAAGAAGCAAGAGCGGTGGAGACGGTGGCAATGGTGACGGGGGCAAGATGGCAAAAGGCAGAAGAGTGATTTACCGTGGAGACATTTACAGGAGGAAGATTTATGACATGATTGACGCCTAGGAAAGCTCCTCCGACCTTTTCTAGGCAGAGAAGTTTTCCTGGTCGTCAAGTTTATTCACATCAACGACAGCCAAAGAAGCATCGATGGCAGCCAAGCGGGAGGATGCCTTATTGGGGCAGCGAAGGGCAATGTGCCCTTCCTGCTTGCAATAAAAGCAGCGGTTGGCAGCACGGAGGGCGGCCTTGTCCTCGGCGGTCAGCCTGCGAGCGGAAGCCTGGCTGAGGTCCATGGGCTGGGGAACGTTGAAGGCTTGAGCGGGGCGAGGAGGAGGAGCAGGAGCGAAGGGACGAGGAGCCGGACGGAAAGGGAGAGGAGCCGGACGAGCAGGAGCAGGAGCAGGAGCGGAGCGGTGGTTGGGACGGCGGGAGCGTTGGTCCTCCTGGCGGTTGTCGATGGCGATCGCCGCTTGCATGAGATCTTCGAGGTTGTCGAAGGAGCGGCGGGAGAGTTCGTCTTGGACCGAGGGCTTGAGTCCACTCTCGAAGTGGAACATGAGAGGGTCTTGGGACCAAGTGACGAGGTGGACGGCTTGGCGGCGGTACTCGGCGGCATAGGCGGCGGCGGAGGTGACTTGGTAAAGCCTAACCATCTCGCGAGCAGCGGCGATGGTTGGCTGGACCTGGCCAAAGGCAGCACGGAGCCACTCGGAGAAACCGGCAAAGTCACGGATGGCAGGGGGGGAGCACTCGGGGTCTCTCTCCAACTGATCGATGTACGGCTGCATGTAGTCTGCAGCAGTACCATCGAGATAGGATAAGGCGTAAAACACCTTATCCCTTTCAGTCTGGAAGAGGGGAGGGTTGGACACGAAGGCCAGTCTGCAATGCGAGAGGAAGGCATTGCAGCGGCTCGGGTCCTTACCAGAGAAGCGGTCGGGAGGACCTATCTGCCTGGTGGCAGAGTTGCGACCAGCAGAGTGATCCTCGGGGTCTTGGGCGGGATCATCGACGTCGTCAGGTACGCCGAAGTAGGGGCGACCTGCACGACGGATCGGGGCGGGAGCGGGAGCAGGAGGAGGTAGCTGGGCCTGGTAGCTGCGGAGGGCCTCCTGGACACTGGCGGCGACAACTTGGCGGACATCCTCTTCACGGCGAGCCAGGACCTGGTCCATACGATCGGTGATGCGGTTGAGCGCATCATCCTGATCGTGGAGGAATTTGGAAAAGTCCTGGAGAGAACGGGCGTTCTCGGCGGACTGGATAATGACCGCACGGATGGCCTGGAGCTCGGGCTCGGAAAGGCCAGAAGGGGAAGCCATTGGTAAAAGATATAGCGAAGGGAACGGGGGCAGAGGCAGGGCAAGTGGGGGGTTGTTGAAGGTCTTGCCAAGTGTCAAGACTGGACAACGGGGCAAGCAGGGAAGTGCGCAAGAGTCCTAATGCAAGACTCGAACGTAGGGAGAGGAGCGGGGACTGGACTGGGACACAGAGTGTCAAGTGTAAAGCCAAAGTTTTATTCTAGATCCAAGGCTTAGGATACTAAAAATACAAAGTGGCAAGACGAAGGCAAAAGACAGAGGCTGGTCGGAGGGCTATTTATGCGAGCGCCAAGGATCGACGCTGCAGAGCGAGGGGGCAGGAGCGAAGCAGCGGCGGGGAGGGCGAAGCCGCGAGCGAAGCAGGTGGCGGCCGTGACTCGGGATCCGTGAGTCAGCGGGCGTCAGTGGCGGCGGCATGGCGGCGCCAAGGCGTCAGGCGGCGTCGAGGTGGCGTCGTGGGCGTAACCCATGACCAACAGCAAGGAAGCGGGAACGGAACACAGACAGCGCGCGTGCTGGCGATAAGACAACAAGGCAGCACAGCGCGGGAAACAAACAAACAGAAGGAAGGGAAAGCACTAAGGCAGGCGAACAGAAAGGGAAGGGCAAGGGTAAAGGAAGGAAGTGGGCAAGGCAGAGGGTGTTCATGACAGTCGGTGCATTTCATCTGTCCGTCGGCTCCTCCGGACTTGCCGTTTGCCGCTGCTGCCGCCGTCGTGCCGGTGACCCCCTGGTCTTGTGCCAGCCAAGCGTCTGGACGAAGGTTCTGGTGTGTCAGATCATCCAGCCGGGAAGGATCTTGAATAGCGCCCGAGTCGAGCAAGCCGACGATGGCCTCCAGGTTCGACAGCATCATGATGGCGCGGGATTTGTATACGTCTCGGAACTGCGGGTTGATCCAGCTGCACACGCCCTTGTAGGTTGTGGTGGCATAGCGATAGATGCTCTCTTCCAAGACCTCGGCGTGGTCGGGCGTCTTTGCCTGGAGGGTCTGCAGGGCGATGCTACGCGGCGAGTCCATCGGGTGCTATTGCATATGCCGAGGATGAAACCCTTACAGCGTTTTTTCTGACACACCCTTCGCAGCAGACCAATGTCAAGTCAAATCTGGATCATCATGGCCGTTATAGCGCTGTGTTGCGTCTGCTCGTCGCTCCTGACCACAGGCGGAGGATTTGGACTCTACCAGTACAACAAGACCCACTCGACAACACCATGGTCCTGCGTCTACGTCCCGACCATCAAGATGTATACTGTTGCACGCATCAACCAGAACAACGCCGAGTGCATGTACAACACCGGTGGTAATGGCTGTTACTACTTCCCAGTGAATCCGGGTGCAGCCACCGGCGACGGTAGTGTCAGTCCGATGGATGAGTGTGCTAACATGATCCAAAACGTACCCACCCCGACCACACTGGCTTCCCAGCAGACGCTGAATCTCGACATCTACACCTGTGGACCCAACTCGACCAACTCCAAGCTCTGGAACCGCACAGGATACGAAGCAGCGAACGACCCGTGTGATGTCATTTTGAACAGCGACAATCGCTCGATCGTCAATATGCTCTTTGCACCGAGCACGACCTCCATCAACTCGGCATACCCACCACCTGCGGCTACTTCTTGAGCTTGCTCACGATGGATGCTGGTGATGGCATACCACCCGGTCCGCTGCTGCCGCTCCCAGAATCGATGCTTTGGTAAGCATAGTACCCGATGGCTGCAATCGACGAGATGCAGCAGCAACAGCAGAGGCATGCAGCAACCAGGGCAATGATCGCTGTCGAGTCGAGACCGGAAGTCGTCTGGTCAGACGAGAACTGACTCGATGTCTTGGTTGTATTGCCCTGTGCGATTTGAGTGATGGCTTTGTTGTCGAGCATGCACTGCTGGTATGATTTGTTGGAGTTGGACTGAATGATGCCGATTGCTGTGGCACAGGGTGCGAACTGGTTCTTCTGGATAGCGGAGAGCTGCGAAGCACACGAGTTCTGCAGGTTCAGGTATGTGCTCGTGTCCATGTTGGTGCTGACCAAGTTGCAGTTGTTGTTGGAGCTGGAGTTGCTGCCAGAGAGCAGGCCCTGAGCCTTCTGGATGGCGGATGCCACAGCCTGGCTATCCACGCTGTTGGTCTGGGCCATGAGTGTCTGGACCATCGATGTCATGGTGCACTGCTGAACGGCGTCATTCACATTGGTCTGGCTGATATTGGCCATGCTGCAGTCGTGGGTCTTGCAGTACTCACACTGTGAGTTGTCGATGACGTTTGTCTGGTAAGCGGCCATATTGTTGGAGCAAGCGTTGACGATGTTCTTGACGTCCGAGTCTGACATGGTGGTGCCGATGACATTGCGGGTCTGGTTGCTGACTTGATTGCTTCCGCTGTCAAACATACTCAAGGGGTCGAATGCCTTGACGACATTTGCGAGGCCTCCGGCAGCGGCCGTAATATTGTCTGCGGTCGATGAGATGGTCTTGCAGGCTTCTGCGGCATTGGCGCCAAACATGTTCTTTCCGGTATCGGCCTGCTCGAGCGACGGAGATGGATCGGCAAACATGTAGTATCCGAGGATGATGATCACGGCCAAGTATTCAAATAGGTACACTGGAACGGGCATCTCTTGCAATGGAGGGTGTGTGGCTACCATCGGGCGACAAAAAAACGCAGTAAGGCCTTCGATACACATGTATAGCATGACGCACCAGCGATGGAGCTGCCACTCGAAGTCTGGGGCGAGATCGCCTCGTTCCTCGACATCCGATCGTGCTTGGCACTGACACGCACCTGCCGCCGATTCCTCGCATTTCATCAACCTGCATGGGAGGATACGATCTACCAGTGCTGCATCAACACCCGCAGCCTCTCGCTGATCCAGGTGATCATGCGACCGATCCCGGTTCTGTGGCGGAACGAAAGCGTCCTTCGACACTACACGCGCTTCAGCTCGATGATGCACAAGGAAGCAATGGTCTGTGAACTGCTCCGCCGTGGCCCCACATCCACTAACGATCCTGGTTTCCGAATTCTGGAAATGTTGATCGCGTGTGGAGTGTCGCCGTACGGAGATATTGCTACCCGATGCATCATGTGCATCCAGAACCACGATGTCTTGGCACGTATCGTCCCTGTGATGACAGCCAACTGTGCCCGCAGGGGCGAGGAATCACTGGCGTTGTTTGCCAAGACCGCAGTTGAACGAGCGATACAGACATGTCGCCACGAATTCATTCAAGCCTTCCTCGGGCAAGTGACACTCGATCTGGTGGACAGCATGCACTACTTTGACTGGGATCTCATCAACGAAGCCATCTATGCCGAGAGCACGATCGTGCTGGATCTCTTCTTCCAACACCAATGGCCTCGCCCCAGGCAGGATATCGTCCAGCAAGCTGCCATCATTGGATCCAAGCGCAGCAGTGCTGTCGTTGTCGAATGGGCACTCGGCCACAATCAACTGGACGACCCTCGTGTGCTCCTCGGCCACATTGTCAGCCTCTCTCCCGAGATCCACGACCTGGTTCTCCGATTCTTCCCGAGCGAGGCGACCCGTCTCCTGAAGCGACTACTCAAGTCACATCCAAACTCCGACCCACAGCCCTTGATCTACTACTGCGTCTGTCGATCGCCGCAGATCGACGCGGGCGCCCTGGTGCTCACTGCGAGATACCAGAAACTCGAGTTCCTGCGATTCATGCTGGAGCAGATGAATCCGGAAACGTACGAGTCGGATCTGTGGTTCGACCTCCTCTGCAGCTCGGGACACAGCAACGCAACCGTGGCATTCGTGCTGCACCACCACTGCTACAGCACCAAGGAGCAAGTCGATGCACTGCGCCGATTTGTGGTGTTTGGATTCGAGCCTGGAACCAATGTGATTCTAGACATGCTCGACGATCGCGATCTTCCCGACGATATCTTGTTCCGGGCATACTTCAACATCAGCGAGTTCACTGGGATCTGTGTGTACACCCTGTTGCGTCGGGTGCTGCACATCCCCAGGATCATTGGATTCCAGGAAATGGGCGAGACCGTCCTGGAGCGGGTGATCCGCTTGCGAATGTGGTCGCACATCGTGCCTCTGGTGGATGCCGGGGTGCGGGTGTGCAATTCGCATGTGTTGCTGGCGAATGTGTATGCATGTCCCAACCGCATTTCGTGTAAGCTGGTCGTGAATGCGCCCCAGGAGGGTGAATAAAAGTCAGCTCTCTCTTGTAGAGCATCACATTCTGTTAGAGTCCAGAGGGGACTCAACGGCAAAAGAAGAAGTGAGCTCGAAGTGAGCTCAGGGAAGGCAAGGGTAAAGTCCGAAGTGGACTCGGAGAGGGAGCGAGGAAATTAAAGATCCGTTCAAGATAAGACTTGTCTCGAAATGAGACGTGAGGAACACTCAGAGAATAAAGTAGAAGGCACTTTATTTAGTCCTATTTTGAACGCTGAGGTTCGACTACACATCGCGGGGGTCAGGCTATTTATAGACAAGTCCGGACTTGGCAGCGAAGGGCGGCCAAGGGAGGGAAAAGTGGGCGATCGAGCAGGGCGAAGGGGGCGATGCACGAACGAGGGCCGAGAAGGACCACCGAGACAGGCAGAGAACCAAAGCGAGAGAGGCGCAAGCAAAAGCGAAGCACCTGGCAGGAGAAACGTGCGAAGGCGAAGCAATGTGACTCAACATCCAAGAAGCGGATTGGTCAAAGAAAAGATTGGGGTGAGCGCATGGGAGATGAACAAGAGATCGGGGCGGTCAGGCAGGTCATGAGTCACCGGTGGGGGGACACATGATCGGCAGCCGAATTGCAACCAATCGCAGCAAGGCGCGTGCACAAACAAACCGGCGCGTGCGAAGAAGACAAAGGAAGCGGAGCAGCGCGGGAAAACGGAAGTGCGGAAGGAGCGGAAAAGACAGGCAAAGGGCGGAAAATTGGAGGGGAACTGCAAGGCTACACACAAACAAACAGAAAGGCAAAAGAACAGCCAAGTGTGCAGTCAAAGTGGAGAACAAGCAGGAGCTATCCCTAACACCACTTCAGGTTTGGATACCGCAAGTGCAAGAACCTGGCTCGACACGGATCCGGGATCGACTTGACCAGGACCCACGCACAGCAGTGTGTGGATCCGCATCAAGTCCTGGTCCGCAAGGTCGCAGCCCTCAAGACGGCCCACCCGACTTGGGTGGAAAGTGGTATAGCCGGAGTGGGACCAGTGGACAAGCTGCTGGACCGGCTCAGTTTCGATCGCACTCCCCCTCGCACTCGCACCCCTCCCGCACTTGGATCGCTTGCTGCTCATGTACCCGCTCCCCGCACTGCCTTCCGAGCATTCGCACTTGGTGCACACCCAGCACCACCACCCACTCCCACACCCAGTGTAGTCCCACCCTTGCAGTCTCTCCCTGCACCCTCATCACAGCGTAGTATAGTGCCAGCACTTGTCACTCCACCACCCCGACCTCCCCTCGATCCTGCTGTTCCCTTGTGGGAACTGCTTGAAAATGTGTTCACCCGCTTGGTCTCAGACCTTGTGGGCAGCTGAGGCAGCACTAGGCTGCAACAGGAGTAAATAGGCTTGCCTGTGTACTCAACGTGCCGGGGTACCAACCTGTTGGACCTGATGGCTTGTCTTCTTGAATAAAGTTGACTATAGTAACAAAAAAAAAAATTGCCCCTACCCTATCTGCTATACCATTTTCCCCCCATCTCCTTCATCTCTCAAAAACGGTATAGTCACCGATATACCCCGATACTACTTGAACGCCCACTGCTAGGTACCGCATGGTGCTCATGGCCGGTTGAATAATCTTGAATATACAGCTATCGTAAACAAAAAAAGGACATTCCTGACCGGGACTTTCAGCTCATACATAGTCTATCACCAAGAACGATCGCCCTGGTCCTCGGCCAATGTAACCAGCGTTGATGTAAGCGCCATGAAGTTTCTCGATATGAAAGGAGATATCCAGTTCTGACCACAGATGGTGAGGTTTTTCGGAGTTTGAGTGTACAATCGCATCAGCAATCTGGATTTCGAGAATCTCGAGAGCCAGAAATGGACAGTTAACCTCACACCTACCAGCGACTCACTCCCTGCTGACTGAGTCATTCAAAGTGTAGATATAACAACAGAGTCTCCTCCAAGGGCGATGCCTGTCCGCGCCATGTCCTACCACCCTCCCCAAAGTCTTCAAGCGCATGGAGTGCCATGCGTTTCAGAACCCTCATGGCTCTTGGCTGATGGTGGACTAGTCCAACGAGCCAGGGACGCCGCCAGCAGCAACTTGCCACTTGTTGTGGACAGGCCGCTGCGGCTGAGTGCAACGAGACTAATGTACAAAAATGGGGGAGGGCGAAGAAGCCGGCCGCAACCAAACAGAGTCGGGAAAGCTCAGCCCAGTCTCGTGCCGGAGTGCCTAATAGTGCCGGGGAAAGCAGAAGGTCTTGTGGTCGTCGACGGCCTTGACACACTGGTCGGCGGAGTGGTCGACGGCGTTCATGCAGGCGACGGCATGATCAGAGCCACCATCCTGGCAGAACAGCTTCTCGAGCTCAGCACGGAGGTAGGTACACTCGGTATAGGTGGAGACGGCTGAGACAGGTCGGATGAAGATATCGGTGAGCAAGCTGGGTCAGAGAAGCAGCCGAATATGCAAGCCAGAAAGGGATGTGGCTCGGCCAACCTTCGGTGATACTTACGGATGTTGTTCCCACAGCTATCGTCAGAGGTCGAGCCCTCGACGGCAGCAGAGGACTTCCAGGAAGGCTTGGCGCACTTGTCCTTGGTGCAGACGAGATCGTCGGAGCAGTCGTGCTCGCTGCTGCAAGAAGCACCCTCGCAGTGGCCCTTCCAGGAGCAGTAGTCATCCTTCTTGGCACACTTGCCCTTGGAACAGATCAGCTCACCAGAGCAGTCGTTATAGTTGTTGCACGAGGCACCTCGCAGTGGCCAGGCCAGGCACAGCTGGAGCCGTGCGAATCAAGCTGGGAAAGATCAAAGAAGGGGGCAGCGCGAGCAACAGCGAGGAAGGCAGCGGCCGAGACGCAGATGAGCATGATGAACTTCATGGTGACGATGGAGATGTGCGCAAAACGAGGGAATCAGAAAGTGGTATGTGGGCGGCCAAATGGAGGCTGGAGCGGTGTTTGAGCGGGTTTGGCTGTGAGGTGTGGTGGTGAGGAATTGATGCCAGGTTTATATCAGACAGGCGATGCGGTGGCAGAGCGATCACCGCCCCTAATCTTGCATGGAAGTGCCCGGACCACAGGGATCTTTGGTCAGCGTCCTGCCACTGAGGTGCATGTCCAATCCAGAGGGATCTATCTGGCATCGGTGTGATCATGGGCAAGCGAGCTGGTGGCGCTGCAAACGAGTTGGATGCAACGAGAGACGACGATTGAAACCGAGGACGGCCATCGACACAGGCGGGAGTTGACAGAACGAGTGATGCTACGACCATGACGAGTGATGCAACGATCATGACGAGACAGGATCAAGACATGGCACACATGGCGATGCGCCGAGCTGCGTTGATTTGGTGTCGTTGTCTCCTGGCATCGACAGCACCATATCTGGTCCCTGTCCCCACACCTCAGCAATCCCACCGCCCCATCCCACGCTGCATGGATTCATGGTTATCGTGGGTGCTATGGCTCCATACACACATGTATCGCCGTCCCTGTCCTCGCCACCCTGCATCTCTCCGTCCACTGCCACCATCGCAAGCTCGCTCTGGGTTGTCACGTTCTCGATTCCGAACGGGGACGGTGCTTGGTCGCCCACTTGGCACGCGCTTTCCGCTTGGCCCGATGTTCGGTGCCTCTCCCTCGTCTCCATCTGTCAACCTCCAGCCCATCCAGCTTTCCATCGATTCTTTCATCGATCCGTCCGCACATCCCATCCAGCAGCCAGCGTGCCATGTCTGCAGCCACAGGTGAGACTCTGTTGATGATGCATCACCGATGGCAGGTGACGACAATGTCTGCTGCTGACCCTTGTGCCAGACTTTGATGCCTTCCTGGACAAGCACGATCTCACCAGGAACAAGACCCTCCTGGTCGACCACGAGATCAACAGCACCGACCTGGTGGGTTGCTTGACTCTGTCGCCGATGGCATGATGCACTCGATGGTTGGACGGTGTCCATGCTGGCGATGGAATGTCGCCGACACTGCGGCCGTCGATGCCCCTGGCCATCCAGACATTGTTGCTGAACAACGGCTGCCTGTCCAGGTCCTCTCTCTGACCGAGCCAGAGATGAAGCAGATCGGGCTCAAGCTCGGCGCCATCAAGAAGATCCAGCGAGCCCAGCGCCAGAACACCGAGCCGCCTGTTGTCGTCCACAAGAGCGAGCCACCGCCATCCAAGACACCCGATGGCAGCGAGAATGCTGTTCTCCCTGTGGTCCGATACAGACCGCCTCCGCTGACGAGGGGATGGAAGTGCCAGCTGGGCAACAGGGACCACGAGGTGTTCATCAGGTACGGCGATGTCTGTGGTGCAGTGTGGGGTGTCTGCACTCCAGCCGGTTGATCATCAATCCATGTCCATGTCTGCACTGGCAACATCGACATCCAGAGTGCCCACTGACCATCGCCTCTTTGCCCAGCTATCGAGTCTTCAGCGACGAGATGCCCGCAATCAAGCTCTACGCCGCCCTCAAGTCGTCCAGCCAATACGACAAGAACCTGTGTCCGTACCTCGACCAGCTGTGTCTCGTCGATGCCATGAACTGGGAGACGGGCTTCATCAACGGCCTGGTCAACTCGCAGGTCATTGTGCTGGTTCTGTCGGAGCGGGGACTGAGCCGCACCCGCGAGGCACACCTCAAGCCAGACAACCAGTTCCTGGAGGTGAGCAAGCGAGCGGTTGGCCGAGCCATCCATGTCGATGCACTTGCACTCAATAGTCCCCACACTCACACTCACACTCACACTCACACTCACACTCACACTCACACTCACACTCACACTCACACTCACACTCACACTCACACTCACACTCACACTCACACTCACACTCACACTCACACTCACACTCACACTCACACTCACACTCACACTCACACTCACACTCACACTCACACTCACACCACACTCAGGTCCAGCATGCCCTGCGTCGGATGCGAGAGTCGGCCACCACCGGCCGCCCGGTGACCGTCCAGCCCGTCTACATGTGGTCGACCCGCATCATCAACAACCAGACCTATGCTTCCAAGTACTTCCCCAACCCCGACGACTTTCCCGACGAGCCGCCCTGCCACGATCTGAGTCCCCTCGTCGACGGCAAGCCCGTATCGATCCGCCAGACCATCCGAGATGTCCTGGCTCTCCAGCAGTTCAATGCAGCCGATGGGACGGCGGTGATGAGGTGGGTGGCTGCTGTGTCATCCGTTGATGGCGAGCCATTTCTGCTGCATTGCTGTCATGCGTGATCGCAGCATCCTGCACACCATACACACCATCAATGCCATGTGCACCATCAATGCCATGCGCACCATGCTGCATCAGACTCCTCTCACAACACCACACGACACCATGTACATCGCATCACCTTGCTGCACATCCATCTGACCACATCCAACTGACCCCATTCCCTTTCGCACTCGTCCATCCCCCGCCACCACACAGGCTCTCTCCGTACATCCGAGTGCTTGTGGCCAAGACCGAGAGGGCCATCGCCGAGGGCATCCTCTACCACCAGAGCCGACCCATCGTCCTCGCTGCCGACGAAGACTCGCAGCTCCGCGTCCTGCTCGATCCCATCGACTTTGACCCCGACAGGAAGGCGCTCGAGGATCTGTATGTCGAGGGCACCCGCCAGTGGCTGTTTGACCATGTCACTGCCTGGGCCGACGACGACGACAACGCCGACCGGGTCCTGTGGGTCAATGCCGTCGCCGGTGTCGGCAAGTCCGTCGCTGCCGCCCAGATCGCCAACATCCTGCTTGGCCGAGACCAGCTGGCGACATCGCTGTTCCTCAAGTACAACGACACCCGCAAGAACAACCCCCGCATCCTGCTGACCACGATCGCATATGGACTGTGTCGCTGGTACGCACCGATCGGCCGTCGGCTCCTCGACGCTGGCCACACCAAGGGCGACCTCGACAAGATGAGCATCCCGGACCTGTTCAAGGCCTTGATTGAGGATCCACTCGAGGCACTTGGCCAGTACCGGCCCAAGGGAGCCGTCGTGGTGATGGTCGATGGCCTGGACGAGTGCCATCCGCGCGACGAGATCCTGTCGCTCCTGGCCTGGCGACTCACACAGCTGAAGGACGAGTCCCGGATCAAGCTGCTGCTGACGTCCCGCCCCGAGGCCGACATCAAGGCTGCCTTCCGAGGAGTGCCGACCACGACGATCGAGCCATCGAGCGAAGACAACATCCGCGACCTCCGGGTGTTCATCGACCATCGTCTCAGGGACCACCCCAGCCTCAGCGAGTCGGACCGCACCCAGGCGATCTCGGTGCTGCTGGACCAGTCCAAGACATTCGTGTGGATCAACCTGATCCTCAACACCGTCGAGCACGAGCTGGAGACTCCCGAGCCAGGATCGGCGCCGTGCGAGGAGAGCGACGCAGCACACGAGCCACGGACACTGACCCTCGAGATGATCCGAGAAATCAACGACTCGTCGGTGGATCTCAAGGGACTGTACCACAAGACATTTGCCAAGATCCACTCGCAGTCGAGCCACCCGGCCGACTTGGTCACGGTGGTGTCGGCCATCGCCACGGCCCAGTCGATCCTGACCCCGCAGATCATCGCCGATGTGTTTGGACTCGAGATCGGCGTCGTTCGCGAGTGTCTCAAGAGCCTCAGTCTGGTCCTCGATCCTGGCGCCAATGGACTGGATCCCCGAGGCAGCCAGTCCACCAACACCGAAGTCAAGTTCAACCACAAGTCGGTGGCGGACTATCTCCTCGGCGACACATCGGCTGGCCATCCGTGGCATGTGTCGGACTCGTTCCACACGGTGTTTGCCAAGGGATGTCTCGGTGTGATCCTCTCGCACGATCCAGTGGTCAACATCTGCGAGATCTTCGACTTTCACGACAAGATCCCAGACCTCGAGGACAGGGTCGCAGCCAAGATCACACCGTCGCTGCGATACAGCGTCGCCCACTGGATCACACACTTTGTGTGGTGTGTGGAAGGAGAGGCCGAGTCGAGTCCGATTTGGCAGTCGGCCGAGATGGTCGATGTGGCAGCGGTGCTCACTCGGTTCGTCAAGACGCATGTGTTCTTCTGGCTCGAGTGTGGGTCGCTCACACATGTGGTCAAGCCGATCATCGAGCAACTGGCTGTGCTGCGAGGAGTGGTCGCCAAGGCACCCAGCACCATCATCGACGACACCACGAAGGAACTGGTCAAGGACACGTATCGATTCATCCGCGAGTTTGCCGATCCGATCATCAAGAGTGCACCACAGGTGTACAACTCGGGGTATGCATTCACACCGAAGGAGACGGCGATCTACAAGACATATGCCGACCGACTCGAGGACAAGATCCCGTTCCTGGTCACGACGGGTCCAGCACCCACCTGGGATCCGTGTGAGATGACCATCACTGGACATGGATATGAACTGAAATCGGTGGCGATCTCTCCCGATGGCAAGTGGATTGTCACTGGAGCCAGTGACAACACTATCAAGGTGTGGGATGCCACCACTGGCCAAGTGAAGCAAATGTTCAAAGGACACACCAAAGGTGTAACCTCCGTGGCCATTTCATCTGATGGCAAGTGGATTGTCTCTGGTTCTGATGACACGACCATCAAGATGTGGAATGCCACCACGGGCCAAGTGAAACACACCTTCGAGGGACACATGCACTATGCGAACTCCGTGGCGATCTCGTCCGATGGCCAGTGGATTATCTCTGGCTCTGGTGACAAAACCATCAAGGTTTGGGACGCCACCACGGGCCAGGTGAAGCACACCCTCGAGGGACACACATGGGTTGTGAACTCTGTGGCAATCTCACCCGATGGCAGGTGGGTCGTCTCTGGTTCTGGTGACAGCACCATCAAGATGTGGGATGCCACCACTGGCCAGTTGAAGCACACTCTCGAGGGACACACGGACGGCGTCAATTCTGTCGTGATCTCACCTGATGGCAAGTGGATTGTCTCTGGCTCGGTGGACAAGACCATCAAGGTATGGGATGCCACCACGGGCCAAGTGAAGCACACCCTCGAGGGACACACAGGCTATGTGCGCTCAGTGGCAATCTCACCCGATGGCAGGTGGATCGTCTCTGGTTCTGGTGACAGCACCATCAAGATGTGGGATGCCACCACGGGCCAAGTGAAACACACTCTCGAGGGACATACAGCCAGTGTGTTCTCCGTGGCGATCTCACCTGATGGCAAGTGGATTGTCTCTGGCTCGGTGGACAAGACCATCAAGGTATGGGATGCCACCACGGGCCAAGTGAAACACACCCTCGAGGGACACACAGGCAGTGTGTTCTCCGTGGCGATCTCACCTGATGGCAGGTGGATCGTCTCTGGTTCTGGTGACAGCACCATCAAGATGTGGGATGCCACCACTGGCCAGTTGAAGCACACTCTCGAGGGACATACAGCCAGTGTGTTCTCCGTGGCGATCTCACCTGATGGCAAGTGGATTGTCTCTGGCTCGGTGGACAAGACCATCAAGGTATGGGATGCCACCACGGGCCAAGTGAAACACACCCTCGAGGGACACACAGGCTATGTGCGCTCAGTGGTAATCTCACCGGATGGCAGGTGGGTCGTCTCTGGTTCTGGTGACAGCACCATCAAGATGTGGGATGCCGCCACGGGCCAGGTGAAGCACACCCTCGAAGGACACAAAAGCTGGGTGACTTCCGTGGCGATCTCACCCGATGGCAAGTGGATTGCCTCTGGCTCTCGTGATAAGACCATCAAGGTGTGGGATTTCACCACTGGTCAGTTGAAACACACCCTCAACGGACACGAAAGCGATGTGACCTCCGTGGCGATCTCGCCTGATGGCAACTCGATCAAGTCTCGCGATTCCGGCGGCAATCTAATCCTCTGGGTCCGTCGTGGTGACAAGTGGATTCACTCCGGTGAAGATCCCTCCAACTTCCTCGCAACATCCAAGTCACATTCTTCATCCCAGTGGATCGGAGTCGATCATGCTCCCCAATGGATCCGCCACGGCAGCTTCACCACCAAGGCCCTACATTCCCTCTTTGGAGATTGGGGCAAAAGTATCATCACCCATTCAGGAGGACTTGCTATGGTCAAGTCCCGCCCGTTAATCATCCTGGTAAGTCCTCTCGCCCAGACCCTGAACCACTGACCATCAACTGACCCCTTCCCCTCCACAGCCAATCTACCTCGACACCCCCGAGATCCAAGCCGAAGTTTCGCGATTCCGCAAGGCACTCACTGAGCAGACAGCATCAGTGTAGCGTGTATTACAATCGATTCAATCGATGGTATGAATACAAGGTCCGTATGCCGTGGGAATTTGGGCATAGGTCCGCCTCTGCCGCCGCCAAATTTGCGTTCAAACCCGACCACGATGGTCGTTGAAGCGAAGACCAATGAACCAGTCTCGCGTGTGGCCGGAGCCACGGTGGTTCCAGACAGAGCTGGAGGTCTCAACTGGCAAACCAGTTGGTGATGGGCGGCGGCAGAGGGCTTTATCAAATCAACAATCTCAAGTTCCAGGAGTGGTTCCCATTTGAGACGGGAGAAGATCGGGCTTGGTGGTCTTGGTGTCATGAGCGAGGCTCGGATGGATGGATAGAGACAGGAATGGTCTCGGATGTGCCATGGATGGGCAGGAATGTCTTGAGGTGTCGATAAAGATGCGCGACGCGTGATAATCTCGGAATGCGATGGATAGGATAGTTTGTGCCGGGAGATAGGCGGCAATGATAAAGTAGGTAATGTATGTAATGATAGTATAGGCCGTAGAAGAGGCAATATGAAGTAGGCAGTGGGCAATGGGCCAGAGCAGGACGTAGGCCAGGAGTAGCATGATTGCGTTTGTCATTTTGGTTTCTGCGAATGGAATTTTTTTTTGTTTCAATAGCGCACTTTTATTTGTGCGCCTGCCCTCAGCATCACTGATACTCGGCAAAGTGTCGTTCTGGAAGGTGGCTATACGCCTCCTCCCCTGGGCTATCTGGAAGGTGCCTACAGGCCTCCTCCCCTGTGCTATCTTCTATGGGTAGGTGCTGCCCACCCAGCCAGGTCTTTGGTCAACTTCACGAAGATTTGTGAGATCGTACCCCACAGAGCATCTACATCTGTGTCAGTTCTCACGAAGCGCGCCATCCTCTCACTTCTGTCGTATCCAACATGGCTGAGGAGGTCGAGGATCTTGTCTATCGGCCCCACGCTGTCGTGGGTCGGTTCCTCCCACCCTGGGTGTCGGGCTTTGTACTCTTGGACCACCTCGTGGAGGCTCCCGTTTGGGTCCGCACATTCCTGAGCATGCGTTCTGTCGAGGATCACCGGGTCATTTGGGTCTGTCGTGCACTGCTTGCAGTGTCTCCTCCCGCCTTTCGGGTGGCCAGGGAAGCTTCCGAGTCTCCATCGGGCCGCGATGCAGTGCAGCCATCGGTCCATTTTGGATTTCTTGGCAGCCCACAGGCCCGACATGGTCGTCAGAGGCGAGCAGGCCGCCGTCAGCTCCTTCTTCCGGTCGAAACTGCGGGCGTCTTCGAGGTGCATCACCATTTTCAGAGCTGGGCCGGGTTCTTGAACCGTTCCTTCTGCAAAGAGCCACCCCATTGTTCCCAGGGGACGCCGGGTCTTGACTTGTTCGAGGCGCTTCCAGTAGTCGTCCTCGTAGATGGTTGCTCCCAGGAATATGGACTTGCGTTCTGGGTCCGCGCGGGTGAATCGGAGCACCAGCGAGACCATCTTGTCGTCCTGGTCTTTCCGATCCTCCCAGACAGCCCGGTATTGGATCGCCAGCTGTTTGAGGCGGCCCGACATTGATATGAGCCCGCAGCTGATGTGCATGGCTCCCCACGATGTGTTTCGGACCACTTTGAACAGCGCCGTGAGACAGTGCATCTGGGTTCGGTTGAGTGTCTTGGCTTGTTTGGCTTCGAGCAGATCGAGGGACAGGGCATACTCCATCGTCGGTCGGACAAAGGTCTTGTAGACCCGCACCAGCGATCTGGCGGTCATGTTGCCGAGGGTGTATCCTTGCTTTGCGATCCGTTGGGCCACTACTTGGGCTGTCGCCGTCATTCTCTGGATCTGTCGGTCCATCTGGAGGCCGTTGACGTCGAAGGTGGCTCCGAGGTACTTGAACTCCTTTGCCATGGGCAGCGGCTGGCCGTAGAGTCGGAGGCCGGTTGCTCGTTCAGGATTGCCCTCGGAGAAGATCACTTCGCATTTGGGCGGCGAGAACTTGTATCTGTTGTCGATACTGTGCTGTTCGCAGATGTCGAGCAATCTCTGTGCTTGCCTGGGCCTGCAGATCAGTGCGCCGTCGTCGGCAAACCACAGCGAGTTGATCTGGATGTTGATGCCGCGGGTGGTCGTCAGGGTCGTTCCTCCCTCTCTCCTCAGGAGTTTCGGGAGGTCGTCAATGAAGGCACTGAAGAGCAGAGGGCGCCAATACGAAAGTGTCGTGGGTGAGGTGCATCTGGCCTTGGATGGCGAGAATGCGGGCTCGAATCCATGATCGATTCCATGTTCGATTCCATGATCGATTCCATATTCGATGAATGTGGCAGTGTGTGGCAGTGCATGTACAACAAGGACTCCAGCCATCAAACCATCGGATCGAGCCAGGCTTGTGTGTGTGTGTTCAATAGCCAGTGTATGGCTTGCCAGTGTTTGGCTTGCTTCGCCACAACTTCCCTGTCTGCCTCCTGTCCATCACCATCATCCACTTGCCTCGCTCCTGCCTCCATCAACACGACCAGCATGAACGAGCTTGCTTCAAACGCAGCACCGTCTCGCACTCAGCAAAGCCAAGCTGAAGCCAGCACAGCATCGTCGTGGCCCGATATCACCCAACTCTCCCTCGAACACAACCCAGACATCTTCACCATCATCTGTTGCAACGACAGCTTCCAGCTGGCACTCGACCACGACACAGTCAAGACCCTCGTCCAAGTGTGCAAACGAATCCGTCCTCTCCTGAGCTCCAAGGTGGCTCGCTTCCATAGCTGGTGCCAGAAGTCAATATTGTACCATCCAGACAGACAGATGCGGATCGGCCTCACACCGAGCGACCAGATTGCCATCTCGCTGCACTGCAAGGATCCAGTCACCGCCGACCGATCCTGGCTCGTTGTTCAGGCAGACCAGGGAAATGCTGCCGCTTCATACTTCCTGGCAAAGATCCTCCAAGTCGATCTCGCTGTCGATCAGTCTGCAGACAAATCAGAGGCCATCCGCCAGCAGATCTTCCACCATTTAGAGAGTGCCGCCGAAGCCCAACATCCAATGGCACATTTCCATTTGGCCCGATGTTATCGCACCGGACTCGGAGTCGACCAAGACCAAATTAAGGCTCTCGAGCTGTATCGCGATCTTGCAGATCGCGGAATGGCACAGGCTCAAATCGCTCTCGGCGATTGCTACGAGGATGGCGATGGTGTCGATCAAGATTACGATACAGCCATCGAGTGGTATTCCAAGGCAGCAGACCAGGGCAGCGAGGATGGTCGACTCCACATCGTGTTCCTCCGAGCCTGGTTCTCGTTCATCGGCCACAATGTCGAACAGAGCGACGCCGATGCCTTCCACCACTGGCAGGAAGTCAGCACCAAATCGTCTGACCCAGTCATCAAACCCATCGCCACCCACATGCTCGGGTGGATGCACTACCTCGGCCGGGGCACCGTGCGAGACGAACAGAAAGGAGTCAGGATTATCAGAGAAACCAAGTCCGATGATTTTAAGCTCGGAGAGGACGAGTGTCTGGCTACATCGCGCAACCGCCGCTCCGACTCACCCGCTTTCCGCAAGCTCTTCGAGCTGTGCCAGTTGGGATCGGACTGTGACTGGCTCTGCAAGCATCTGATGGCGGTGTGTCTTCACCATGGATTCGGAACCACACAAACCCGGGAGAAGGCAGCAGGCAACTTTGAGCAGCTCGCCAATGAGGGTCACAGCGACAGCCAGTTGTGGATCGGATTGTGTTATCAATGTGGCCGAGGAGTGTCGAAAGACCACAAGAAGGCATTCGAGTGGTATTGCAAGTCAGCCAACCAAGGCAACCCGTACGGCCAGTGGAGGGTTGGTGTGTGCTACTTTTGTGGATACGGAGTAACCCAGGACTTCACCAAGGCAGTCGAATGGTATCGCAAGTCGGCCGAACAGGACAATAGGAACGGACAATTTTCTCTTGGTGAATGCTACAAAAATGGCTGGGGCGTCCCTCGAGACATCGACACCGCCGTCTTCTGGTGGCGCAAGTCCGCAGACCAGGGTGACAGAGATGCTATCAGCCAACTCGAGCAACTCGGCCTGTGGCCCTGATCCCCGAGTCCCTCCCGAACAATCATATCGCAACACCGAACATGCTAACAACCCAGTATACCACACCCCCGTCGTCAACCAGTTCCAGACACCGTGATATCGAATAACGGACTTGCAACGTGGATCTGACGAATCGATATTGGCTGAGCAGGATTGTATTTGACAACCAATACACCCGATACATTGAATACATCCAATACAACCAATACATCCGATACATTGAATACATCCAATACAACCAATACATCCGATACATTGAATACATCCAATACAATCAATACATCCAACACATTCAAAAAGTCCAATTTATAAACAGTACCGTTTCGTAACAATCGCTGATGTTGATTAACCGATAGAGCATCGAATGACTCGACAACGACAACTCCCATTTGTCAGCGTAGTATGCGATGGCTTGCGTCCAACTGAACCATAAGAAATGAAACAGATCACCTTCGAGTGAAGATCGTCGGCCGCTCTCCGGTCTCCATAATCGACCTGCACACTGGTCTCGGAGTACCAGCGATGGATGGTGCTTTTTGGACACGCTGAAGATGGTGGCGACCTTGCGCAAGCTGCGGAGCAGCGAGTAGCATCGCAGTGCAGCGCTGCGGAAATCGAGGGTGCTGTGTTTGGCCATGATTGCAATGAGTGGGTGGGTGTATTCAGGGCACAGAAAATAACCCTGTCATGAGTCAAAACGGGGTGTCCCATTTCATTTTGGAAACGCTGCAATCGGCTCCGCCTTTGGTGTGGCCAAAAATGAGTCTTGTATTGCCGCTCTGCCACATGTACACACACTTTTGGGCACCATCACGGCACCATCGTGGCACCATCAGAGTCGCCGATCGATCGATCGATCGATCCATGAACACCATGGCTTGGCGGGCTCGACCGCTGGGCTTGGCCTCTTCAAGGGCATCCTCAGCTGTTCGAGAACAGAGACGACCCCAAGACGTGACCAGCGACGCTTGCGCCTCCGATTCCCGAAGCCGAGAGTCTGGGCGTCTCGCTTGGGCTGTAGACCTCTCCACCAAGCACGCCAGATCCCAGCCACTGTGTCTCGTGCTGCCCCGTAGCCAGACCGATGATTCGAGCAGCGGTTGTCGGGTCGTGGGAGGCGTGGCTTGGCTGTCCGGGCAGAGACCGAAGCCGAGGACCCTCGATCGAACCATCACTATGCTTGCGCTCGCCGCCAAAGAGCAACGAGGCCGACGCGGTGTTCTGAACAGGAGACACCAGGCCGCCAGCGTACACACCCGGGTCGCTCAGGACCGAGGCGCTGCTCTGCTTTCGGAAGCCCAGTCCAGCTTCCTGGCCAATGACACCGACTGCATTCGACTGCACGGCCGACGACGGCATCTCGCGGGCAGACACGGGGCTCGACAGGCTCAGGGGATCGAGGGCAGGCGCGGTGAGTTGCACTGGCCCCGACCACGATCCAAACAGATCGGCCGATGTTACTGGAGACGCTTCGGTGCGTGTGGCTGATGGTAGCAGTCCGCTCGATAGAGGCGGCCAAGGACTTGCAAATGCGAGGCCGCCTACAGCCGACTCCTCAGGGGGTATCCTCGAGAGACTGTGGCGGGACCGGGCGGCGGGTGCTTGTGGGTACTCATAGGCACTTCCGAGATGATCGGCTGGCGAGACTGCGGCAAAGCCAGGGACCGGGGCAAGTGGACCACCGACATATTCGCCAAGCCCGCGCGCTGGGTCAGGCAGCGCAGTCGCATGCAGGGACGAGGAAAACCGAGATGATCCGGGGCGGGAGCCGAGAGGCAGGAGGGCGTGTGGATCCGACCCGAGGGGCGCCGAAAACGCAGACACAAACGGAAAGGGCGACCGGTCATGCGCTGGCCGGAACGATTCTGGGCGACAGAGAGGCGGCCCGCGCCAGTGATAGAGTGGTAAGTAGGCGGAAAGGGGCTGCGGAGCATGCCGTGATATGGGCCACGACCCGGTATTCATGCGATAAGCCATTGACCAGTGTGACAGCCTACAACGCAATCTGCAGTCGCCAAAGACTCTGCCGACTCCATCGCCACGATCCAAGATCCAAGACAGCCACACTCGCCTGGTGGATGTCTGATCACTTCTCGCAGTCAACTCACCAAAGGACGTATGGGTGCCCATTGTTGCATTTGCGGGGTGGTGTTGCTGTTGTGGCTGCGTCGTCGGGATGACCCCCGAGGGATGTGCAAATGGACGGGCCGACAGAGCCGAGGATGAAGGGCTGAACGATGATGGAGACGCAGGCAGCGGCTGTGGGAGTGACGCCGCTAGCAACGACGCCGGGTTGGCGAGAATATGTGGAGGTGGTCGGTATGGGAGAGGGCCTGGAGCGCCGCTCAGTCCAGCGAGCGGTAGATGGCCAAAGGACATTGGGCCAGGCAAGACCGCCAGACCAGCGGGCTGTGGCGTTGAGGGTATGCCATTGTACTCGGCTGGAGGTGCGTACGGTGGAGGATAGACCCCTGGTAAGACTTGATCGGCAACGCCAGGCTCCATGGAGGTATCGATGAGGTTGAATGGCCGTGGGATCGCGTGTGGCTCGGCGTAAAAGTGCATCTGGAGCGACTGCGGGTGCATCTTGGAGACCGACACCGGGTCGGGGAAGAAGCCATTGTTTGCAACTGTGGCGATTCCGGGGAAGGGAAGCGATGAAAGCGGCGCTGGCGATGCCGAGGATGTGTGCTCCGTTCGGGTTGGCGACGACAAGAGCACCCTCGGAGTCGACTGGCGATCGAACGGAGAGAGCGGCGCGTGAGAGTCCGACGACGGCAGTGACGATAGCGACGGTGCTGGATCGGTCGTCGAGGTGCATTCAGAGAAACCGTCGGATGGCGATTGGAAGGAGCTGCTGGATCCGAAAGACATCTCACTCGCCAGGGCGTCGGCAGATGGCGCGGACTGGAGATCAACGCTGGTGCAATCGGGTGACAGCGCCAGATCAGCCATATGTGCAGTGAGGGCCGCGTTGCTGAATACAGACGGGAGAACCTTCCCAGCAGTCGAAGGCTTGGACGCTGCTGATGGTTGCTGAAGCTTGGTTGGAGACGATGACTTGGGCTGTGAGGATTGCTTTGGATGAGACTGGGGCTTTGCTCCTTGCGGGTGTGGTTGGGATTGTGATTGAGATTGAGACCGGGGCTTTGATTGCGCGGGGGATCTTGCTGGAGATGCAACCGAGGGCTGCGACTCTGTGCGCGGCCGAGACTTGCTTCCCACTGGCGGTGTTGAGCCCGCGGTTGGTGCAGGCACACTTGCCGAGCTCGGGCTTGCCGACTGCTCCCGTGCCTCACGCTTGCGCCGCAGAGCGTCCTCTTTCTCCGCCTGGAGCTTGCGTTCGCGCTCCTCGCGCTCGCGGCGCTTGGCCTCCTTGGCCTCCTTGGCCTCTTGTTCCCGGCGCTGGGCCTCCTCCTTCTTTTTCAGCACTGCCAGTCTGCGCTGCCGCTCGAGCTCCTCCTTGGCTGCCCGCTCGGCTGCTTTTTTCGCCGCCTCAGCTTCTTTCCGCCTCCTGGGTGATGGGCGAGACCAAGTCGTCCATGGCGAGCAGATAATGGGATTGCATTAGCCCATAGTCGTGACGAGGCCGAAGCAATATCCGGTCATGGTTGCGACAAGGTTGGGGCCGTGGATGGACCAAAGCGATCGATCGGAGCCAGCGCGCGGGCCAAGCCATTGGCGCCCATACTCAAGACGTGACAAGCTTTTGCAGGAACGTCGTACCTCTCCTCTTCGGCACGCACTTGCTTCTCCAGCCGAAGTTGCTCCTCTTGCTGCTGTTTTTCCTTCTCTCGCAGCGTCCGCTCCTGTGTCTTTTGCTGCTTGGCGAGTCTGTGGGCAGTCGAGTATGCAGAGGCTTTTGGTCAGCGCCATATCTGATCTGGTGCGCGGAGGGATACAATGCAATGCAATGCAATGCCATGACAAGTATCAAGGCTGAGCGGCGGCGGATTACTTTTTCTGCTCTCGTTTGCGTTCGAGCTTCTTGAGCCGCTGCTCTTCCTTCTCTCGGTTCAGCCGTTCCTCCTCTTGTAGCTCAAACAGCAGACGATTCTGCCGCTCGTTGGCCATCTGCGTCACGCAGGTGATTGCGGTTGCAAAACGAACGAGCCAGCATGACACATGTGATCCAGCCGATGCGGTCCCAGGTCCGAGCGTAGCGTGAACCGCAATGTGATTGTAAAGTTGAATGAAGGAGAGTCACAGCCACGGGCGGTAACGTGACGGTAATAACAGCGGTCAACAGGTGGCAACCGCAATGTGGCCAGAGAGCACACAGTCACAATGCATCGCGAGCGACCGCCAGGCGTCTATCTCGGCCCTGTCACCCTGCGCAAGCGAATCGCGGTTGTTCTGGCTCATCGCTGCATGACGTCGTGATCGACACGCTACCTGCTCGCGATAGGCGGCCATCACGCGCTGCTCGAACATCTTGGCGGCAAAGATCGTGAACATGCGGCGACCTTCCTCGATGCGGCGCTCTTCGTCCTGTATTGAGGAGGCGGGGTGAAAGGAGAGTCGCACAACACCATGCACATAGTTAGCCCGAATGTGATGCATGCGAATGACCTGCTGCTAGTCGGACACGCAGGTGCCATAAAGTTGGCGCCGTGTGCTTTCCAGCCGCGCACGATCCACATCAATCTAAAATAAGCAATCGATAGTTGCCTCGGAGTACTCGTCGTCGTCCTCGTCCTCGTCTACTTCCTCGGCATAATCGCCTTCCTCGTCGTCGCCCTCGTCGTCCAGGTTCTGGAAATCGTCAACGTCAAGGCTTCCTGGTGGACGAAAACGATCCGGGTATTGTCCGCTGAAGCCGCGGCTCGGATCCTCGTCCAGTTCGTTGTTCAGGAGAGCCTCGCGATCTATCTCGCGGAGCTTGCTGGCTGTTAGCCGCTCCATGATCTCGATGAAGCATCTGCCTTTGTTCTGGATAAAGTCATCGTCCAGCGTCAGGGCACCGTCTGAATATAGGGAGGATGTGGGCGCAACAACGGGACTGTCAGTGGAGGCGCCACGACACCTGAGCAAAGACAGGGTGCGATCCAGCTCGGTCCATTCCGGCGCAGCTTGGTGGCGATAGTACCTCGGGCGCGCAGGGAGTTGCTGAATTCAATAAACTGGGAGCTGGGATCGTGGGGGTCTGAGACACGACAGAGTTGCGGCATCGAGTCATGCGTGAAGGACGGCAGAGTTCCGGTGTGGTACGAGGTTGACGTCGTCAGGATGGCGTGTAGAGCAAGGTATGGATGGAAGTGTGCCGATTTGAGTTTTGCGAGACAGGATTACATCGGAACGCAGCCCGGCGACGATGGCGATCGAGTTACAATCGAATCGAGGATAGATTTGACAAGCACAACAATATCGGGTTTATGGATCGGGAAAGGACCGGGAAGCGAGGTCGAGATGGACACGAATCGGATCGTCAATTCAAGTTCAAGGGCCAGCAGGGACGCAAAAATTCAGCAGAGGCACAGCAGGATTGGTGCGGCACAGCAGACATTCGTGGCGGACGGTGTGCAAAGTACGAGACACTTGCCGACGCTGGGCAGGTCGGAGAGGATGAGCGGATAGGCGCCGCTGGACTGTTGCTTGGCGAGATTCTCGAGCTCCTCATAGTATGCATCGTATAAAAACTCGAGCTCCTCCTCGATCACGGTCCTGCAGGGACAGAACATGACAACGAGACAGGTGGCCGTTAGAGGCAGCATGGCGTTCGGATGCAGGCAATCGGGCAAGCAGCAACGACAATATCCATGATCGGGGGACGGTGAGCGACAGTAAGGCGTAATGATGACTATGGAAATGGCGATGGTGATGGTGGAGGTGGTGTGTCCAACGCCCGGCTGAAGGACAAATCGCAGGGTCGAGTATAGTTCCTGTTGATGAACTCGCACACAGGTTGCATGAACCAACATCGAGGTGTTCAGCGCCGAAGCAAGCCGCTTGGCACGGCACCGTCAATGTGCCGCAGTCGGGTGTATTCACCGACAGAGATTCAACATTGCTGGCGAGTTGGTGTGCTGGCGTTCGATGGCATTCGATGATGATGCGCACTTCTCGATACGAAAAGCACCCTTCCCTGATGAACGCCAGGCCGAGGATGCCCAAGTGGGAGGGGAAGGAGGAAAGAGGAGATATCCCGCCAACGGACCTTTTCTTCCCGCAGATGGAACAGGAGCACGACTGGCGCTGCTGGTCCTTGATCTTTTTGAGGACCGACTCTTTCTCGAGCCGAACGAGGGCCTTGCGGTCGTCCTCGGAAAGCGAGTTCCAAAAGTGGCGGATGCGGAGAGCCTCGTCGGCGTCGCTGCGATACCAAATGTCGTCCGTCGGCCAGGCGGGCTCGACCGAGTGGGAGGCGAGAGACTGTTTCTGGGAGCCCATGGGGGATGGTTGAGGCCGCGAGCAGACGGCCAAAGGACGGCGGTGGATGCCGCGGGGAGACTGGCGAGTTGATGGAGTCAGAGCGATGGAGTCAGGGCAATGGATTCTGGGCGATGGAGTCGATGGCGAAGGCGGTGGGACCGGATCGAGCCAGGAGCGAGCCAGGAGCGAGCCGGCTGGATCCAGGTGGCTGCGGGCTCGAGCCAGGCTCGGGCACAGACACTGTGCGGCGTCCAGCGCCGAAGCGGCTGTGGCCGCGGCTGTGCTGTTTGTGTGATGCTCAGGATCTGTGTGCCACGGCTTGTGGCGTCTGTGTCCCGCTCGTACGACGGCGCCTTCCCAGTCGGGCTGTGGCAATGCACAGACATGCGCAGCAGCACACACAGTGAAGCGCAGCACCCACACCGAATTGTATAATGACATGCATTCGGGGCCGATGTACCAACTCGTATCAGCTCGTATCAACTCGTATCAACTCGTATCAACTCATAGCAACTCATATCAACTCATATCAACTCCGACATCAACTCCCACATCAACTCCGACATCAACTTCAACTCCCAAACCCAACACACCCAACACACCAACAGCAACCGCGTCCACGTTCTCCCGTTGTGCCACGGCCCTGTCCTGCTGCCCTTTCTCTCCCCGGCCCAGCCATTTCCGTCCTCTGTCTCGCTCCGCTGTGCGCCCTCGACCTTTGCCGGCTGCCCTTGCCCTCTCTTTGCCGGCAGAGCCATTGCTGTTCTGTCCAAGCGATATTAGCGCCCTGACACTGTCGCCCTCGAATAATATTACCATCTGACACTGTCGACTTCAAGTGAGCAACCTGCTGATCTAAAGAACCACCAGCAACCGCCTTGTTTCTGTTATTCCGACTTGAACACCAACACCATCACCAACACCATCCCGACACCAACATCACCAACATCGACATCCCCAATCACGTCCGTGGCCCAAGATGATGTCTGCGCAGATGCCGCTGCTCCGGCACTCCTTCTCCACTTCGTCTCTCCGCCAAACCGTCGCCATGTACGGCGACTCCCTCCCGCCCTCTCGCTCGCAGACCCCGGCCGCGGCTCCGGTCGCCGATTCGGCTTCGTCGTCGTCGTCGTCGTCGTCGAGTCCGTCGCCCATCGAGCCCCCCAGGCGGCATATGCCCCTCGGCAGCGTCGCCTCGGAGGCCTTGACCTCCTCCGACTCGCTCAACTCGGTCTACAACTCGGACGACGAGGATCTCATCCTCGCTCGCCTCGATAATCTCAAGGACTCGACCAGCTACAACTCGCTCTCGCGCAAGCTCAGCGTCAACTTTGCCGCCGTCAAGGAATCCCTTCTCTCCCAGCAGCAGCTTCTTCTTCAGGATCCGTCGTCGTCGGGCCTGCAACTGCAACCGCAACTGCAACAGCCAAATCCCGATCTCGGGCCATCACACCCGTCCGATCCCGTTGTCCTGTCGCCACTGGCCCCGTCGGCGCCCTCGCCTGTCTATGTCCCCAACGGCTACTTTTCGGCGTTCCAGTATCGCTCATCGCAGCCCGACAAGATCGATTGGGGTAAGTCTCGAGCCGCCTGGCGCACAGATCCGTTCGCCATCGATTCTGATCATCGCTCGGGCCGATCCATCGGCTCACGGCGGCGCTTGCCGCTTCGATGTTCTGGTTGTTGAGCAAAAGCGACCAGATGATCATCTTCATCATTCGCTGCGTGGTTCGCTTCCGGTCGCGCTCCTTCCTTTCTTCCACGGAGACTTTTGAATTCCGACAACGAGAGATCCATGTCTGTGGCTTTGGGAGGAGATATCCAAACCTCTCGCTTTGAATACGCTGCTGACCCCTGCTTCTCTGCTGCTTCGGTTTCAATCACTGCGCCGCCACGGTGGATGAAATCACCCTGAATGGAATCGTCCGGAACGCGATACCCTGGATACGCTCGTGTTGGATGCCGTCAAACGACCCGCTGCACTCCTGCTGCATCGCCTGCATATCGCCCGCTGCACTTGGACCGCACCGTCCTCCTTCAACCACCTCGGTCCGCAGACTTTTGGGGCAAGGTCATCTCCGACTACGAACACATTGCCCGCAAGCAGTCACGGCTCCTGACCAAGAACCTGCAAAAGGGCATTCCGCCGGCCATCCGCGGGATGGTCTGGCAACTGCTGTGCAAGGGCAAAAACGAGCAGCTGGAGCAGACCTTCCGCGCCATGATGATCCGCCACTCCACCCACGAAAAGCTCATCCAGCGCGACCTCGCCCGCACCTTCCCCAAGCACGAGTACTTCCAGGACGCCGGCGGGCCCGGCCAGGAGAGCCTCTTCAACGTCACCAAGGCCTACAGTCTGTACGACCCCGAGGTCGGCTACTGCCAGGGCATCTCGTTTATTGTGGGTCCGCTGTTGCTAAACGTAAGTATCTGTCCGACCGAGGCCGTGCTTCTGGAAGCCGCAGTGTCTCTGGATGGACCCGGGGAGTGATCGCTCGGCACGCCGGGGGCACAACCACGGAATACCGTTTGCCCGGTGTGTTGGAAAGGTGCACCCGCCAGCACCCGGATCGCGCCGCTCGGCATCCTGATCGCTATGCGCTGACAGCTCGACGAGTCGCGGAGCATTTGCCGAAAGTGAGCTGCGGGACATGCGTCGACAAGGGACCAGCAAGGCGACTTGCACGAGATGCATAAGCCCAGAGACTAACACATTGCTCACTCGCTCCAGATGCCCGATGAAGAGGCGTTCTGCTGTCTTGTGCAGATCATGAACGGCTACGGCTTCCGCGAGCTGTTCACTCCCCAAATGACGGGCCTGCAGCTCCGGCTCTACCAGTTCGACCGCCTCGTCGAGGAGATGATGCCCAACGTCTTCAAGCACCTCGAACAGGAGGGCATCAAGTCGACCATGTACGCCTCGCAGTGGTTCATGACCGTGTTTGCGTACCGGTTCCCGCTCGACCTGGTGCTGCGGATCCTCGACATTGTCTTTGCCGAGGGCATCGAGTCGGTCGTGCGCTTCTCGCTGGCGCTCATGAAGCGCAACAAGGACGAAATCGTCAAGCTTGATTTCGAAAACGCCCTCGACTTTCTCAAGAACGGGCTCTTTGACGTCTACATGGACAATATCGAGCAGCTGATCCAGGACGCCAGCGCCATCAAGCTGCCAAAGTGGAAGCTCGACAAGCTCAAGGGCGAGTGGGAGGCCGAGTTCCGCAAAGGCGACCAGAACCTGAGCGAGATCGACCAGGTCAAGGTCGAGAACCGCCATCTCAAGGAGCAGCTCAAACGCATGGAACAGATGTACCAGCAGCTCAACCTCGAGCACACGCAGCTGGCGAACGAGCTCCTCGAGTACAAGCTCAAGGCCGAGAAGAGCGGCGATCGTGTCGAGGCGCTCGAGAGCCAGGTCGAGGGCTTCAAGGACCTCCTGGCCCAGGACAGACTCTCGGCCGAAGCCAAGGTCAAGGAGGAGATGGACTATCTGTGCAAGAAGAACCTGGCTCTGGTTGGGTACAACGACAAGCTGCAGGACGAGATCCAGGTGCTTGAGATGGAGCTCATCAAGACCCGCCAGGAATACGTCGCCGTTGTCGAGGAGCGCGACGAAATGATCCAGAAATGGGACGGCCTCAAGCGGGTGCTGGGTTAGCGACCGCCGCGGCTGCATTGGGGGCCGTGATGGTTGCTCACGGGTGCGGCCGTGTGCGAGCCGATGCGGTGCCATCGACTGTGCAGTAGCAATTGCATATGTGATCGACTGTGCAGTAGCAATTGCATATGTGATCGACTGTGCAGTAGCAATTGCATATGCGATCGACTGTGCAGTAGCAGCTGAATTTGAGATCGACTGTGCAGTAGCAGCTGAATTTGAGATCGACTGTGCATTTGCATTCGTCTCAGCGTCAGCGTCAACATCAGCGTCAATATCGACATCAACATCAACGCCAAGCTACAATCCGCTCGGGGTATCAACTGCCGGACTGGACTGCGCTCGGCGCTGCTGACATCTGCAATCAACCCCGCGACGTTGTTGATCATCCCGGCTCCAACTCGCCCCGCTCGCACCTCTGCCGACTTGCTGCCCCCGATACATCAATCGCACACCTCCCACGCCCTGTTATCTTTTTACTGTTGTTGCTATCTTATTTTTATTTTTGTTTCAACTGATCCCAGCCGCGCGCCTATTCCCTGAGCCAGCTCTCTCCTTCCACACCCTGCACCGCTGAGCTTCCATCACGATTGCCTCCTTTTTGATTCTTGACGACGCTGTAATCTATCGTATATACACTCAAGTAGTGCCGAACCTACCCCACGATCCATATCCGGGCCGGCTGGGCTGCGGCGGCGGCTCGCGAGTGTTGGCCACCAACGGATCCCCGTGCGCATGCTTATTCCATGCCCACACCAATACCGATGTGCGCATCGTTATCGTGCGAGTTTGCATGCTGTCCCCCTCGTTCTTGATTGCGACCATCGTTGCTGTCCCACTTGGCTCTGGATCATAGGCCCATTTGCACAAAGCACCACACACCATCATCAACCTGTTATTCCGCCAGCCTCATACTTTGCCAACCCATGACTTTGTCAAACACCGTCCCTGCACGACATTGCATCACCAGCATCATCGGCATCACCAGCATCATCGGCATCACAGGCGTCGCTGCCTCTGCCCCTCTCGCTCACACGCTTCTCTGCGCGGTTCTCTGCCCCCCTCGCTGTCCCCGCTGCCCTCGCTGCCCGCCCCCCGGTGGCGCGGCACAGACTCGATCCGCACTGGAGCCGCGGCTCGATCCGCCGACCGACAAATTTTTTCTTCGCCTTTTCTTGGGACAGTGATCTGCCCGCCCGTTCGGCCCTCATCGCATCCGTCCGTCCGACCCCCATCCCCGGTCGTCCTGGATCATCGTCTGCTGCTGCCCCTCGCCCGTCTCAGAGACATCGCCCGGTCCACCGCGACCTCGCCGCAACCACCGATCGCCCTCGTCTGCTCGTCTGCCAACTCCCTGGCCGTCCAAGCATCTCGCCGCCACTCTCCGCACATCTCGCCGCCGCCAACTCCCCGCACATCATGAGCTCCGATCACATCGACTTTGCCTCCCTGCATCCGCTCTCGCCCGAGGTCATCCAGCGCCAGGCCACCATCAACATCGGCACCATCGGACATGTCGCCCACGGCAAGTCCACCGTCGTCAAGGCCATCTCGGGTGTGCTCACGGTCCGATTCAAGACCGAGCAGATCCGCAACATCACCATCAAGCTCGGCTATGCCAACGCCAAGATCTTCAAGTGCGACTCCGAGGCCTGCCCCCGACCCGGCTGCTACCGCTCGTACCGCTCCGACAAAGAGGACGGCTTCCCCTGCGAGCGCGTCGGCTGCATGGGCAGGATGCGCCTTCTCCGCCACGTCTCGTTTGTCGATTGCCCCGGCCACGACATTCTTATGGCCACCATGCTCAACGGTGCCGCCGTCATGGACGCCGCCCTGCTGCTCATTGCCGGAAACGAATCCTGCCCCCAACCCCAGACCTCCGAGCACTTGGCCGCCATTGAGATCATGAAGCTCAAGCACATCATCATCCTGCAGAACAAAATCGACGTCATCAAGGAGACCGCCGCCGAGGAGCACTACCAGTCCATCCTCGCCTTTGTCAAGGGCACCATCGCCGACGGCGCCCCCATCATCCCGATCTCGGCCCAGCTCAAATACAACATCGACGCCGTCAACGAGTACATCGTCAAGACCATCCCGATCCCACCCCGCGACTTTACCTCCGACCCGCGCCTGATCGTCATCCGCTCCTTCGACGTCAACAAGCCCGGCTCTGAGGTCCAGGACCTCAAGGGTGGCGTTGCCGGTGGCTCGATCCTCTTTGGCTGCCTGAAACTCGGCGACGAGATCGAGATCCGCCCCGGCATCGTCACCAAGGACGCCGAGGGCAAGATCAAGTGCAAGCCCATCTATTCCAAAATCATCTCCCTCTTTGCTGAGCAGAACGACCTGCAGTTTGCCGTGCCCGGCGGTCTGATTGGTGCGTATGGCGGCGGCGGGGTGCATTGTAGCATCGTGCAGTATCGCTCGGGACTGTGCAGCATCGTGCAGCATCACTCAGCATCGTGCAGCATCACTCAGCATCACTCAGCATCGTGCAGCGCCGTGCGTTGTCTGCCGTACTTTGCTCTGATCAGGTCTGGTTGCGCCCCGCTGACATCACTGCTAACTTGACACTCACTTCATCGGATGTCCCCTTATCACGGGCATCGCTGGCATTGTTGAACGCACCTGGATTCCGCTTTGCGACTCCCCACGCACAACTCGGCCAATGCAATGCCGTTCTCGCCCCTACTCGTCGACGGTCCACTGGCATCTCGCTCTGGCGACATGCATTCATGCACCTGGATCCATGCACACGCATCCCTTCGTGTCCATCGCCGGCACTATCGATCGATGCAGGTGTTGGCACCAAGGTTGACCCCACTCTCTGCCGTGCCGATCGCCTCGTCGGCCAGGTCCTGGGTTCGGTCGGCAAGCTGCCCAAGATCTACACCGAGCTCGAGATCAACTACTTCCTGCTCCGCCGACTGCTTGGTGTCAGAACGGACGACAAGAAGCAATCCAAGGTCTCCAAATTGACAAAGAACGAAGTCTTGATGGTCAACATCGGCTCGACCTCGACCGGTGGCAGAGTCATGAGCGTCAAGGCCGATCTGGCCAAGATTCTCCTCACCAGCCCGGCCTGTACCGAGATCGATGAGAAGATTGCCTTGTCACGACGTATCGATTCGCACTGGCGGTAAGTGTAGGGGGGCGGTTGTCAATGTGCAATGGATGGGACTCGAGTGTCCAGAGTCTCATCTGAGACGTAAGGACGAGATTTGCCTCGCGATTTTGCCGTGTCTGGTGGATGGGTGGAAGAATGCGCCTCACCACGACGTTAGTTCCGCTGACCACTGATTTGATTATTATCCCTATCGCGGCTCAATTCCCATGTGCACTCGCCATTGGACCCCGCCGCCGCCAACTCAATGCACCCCTCATGTGGCCTCCTCGGGTTCTCTGTCGATCGTCCGGCAGTCTGATCGGATGGGGCAAGATCAAGCACGGAACCACCATCGAGCCCGACATCTAAACTCCACCCCCACACCCTCGCGAACGATGTCTCAATGCAAGGGCAGCCAGAGCAGCCGTGCACACATCGCCCATACTCTCTCTCCCCTTTTAGTGTTCACCTCCACGGCACTAGCACCAGCATGATGACCTCCTCGCACAGAGCCACCCCCAACTACCACACCCACCACAGCCCTGTCTCTTCTGTCCGTCACCCGGAATCCTGCGCGAGCGAGGATGAGGTGTTGTGTGCGCGATGAAGCACCCGTTTGATACGACGATGATGTGTTTGATGTACAGTTCATTCATACAGCCCTCTCAGCAAAACGTGATGGCCCAGATCACCTCCAGGAGGCACATTGCGTTGGGCAAGCCTGGGGTGGCCATCTCTTGCCCGATCGAGCGTGGCGGATGCGTGAGGATGCTGTGGATGGCTCCTTGCCAGTTTGTTTCTGGCAACGACACCGGCGGAGGGAGGACGGCGCCATGCCGGCGATGCGCATGTCGCAGCCGCCAAAGCTGCAGCAACAGCAGAGACACACAAGTCCATGGAAGTTGAAGGGACAGGTCTGTGAACAGTGCGGCCGCAGGAGGAGATGGAGCGAGCGGCCCTTGATTCGACAGCGCCACACGGTGGCACAAACGGCCACCCGACCCCTGATTGGAGGCGGCGACTTGATACCCCTCCTTCTCCAATGCGATCTTCAACCCGGCAGCGCCCCATATCTGGCTTTCCGCCGCAGCCACAGATACCCTGCGTGCCCACACAAAGTATGCCAGACTCGGTCGGCCACTCCGATTGGATGTGTGTTCTGGAGTGTTCTGCGCAGTGCAATATCCTCGACAGCGCAGCGGTTGTGATTACTTTGATCATCGTGTGGCTTGGATATCTGAGGTATATAAGGCACACTTTGCTGGTCTCTCCGGCCGAGACACCACAGCCCACTCTCGAATCCGCTCTGAGGTTTGCCTCCAAGTTTGAACAGACCAAAGTCTCCTCGGCCATCGCTCAGCACAGTCCAAACACCACATCCAAGCACCACATCCAAGCACCACATCCAAGCACCACATCCAAGCACCACTTCCAAGCACCGCATCCAAGTGTCACATCCAAGTGCCCACGCTTGTCCGGTCTCTGCCTCTCCGTCGCATTCAACGATTTCCAAGTCGCTGTCCTCTCCCTCTCCCTCTCCTCTCCCTCTCCCGCCGACTCTGGCTGCTTTTGACCCCCGCTTGTCGTTGCCATCCCGCTGTTATACTTGTCTGTCCAGAATGGTTTCTTGCCCTGTTTCCGGCTGCCAGTCCCGCCAAGCGCAGAAGCTTGGCAGACACAGTGGCTGCGGTGGTGTAGTTTATGTTTGTGGTGGCGACATGGGCCACAAGTTTTGTAAGGGCTGTGGCGACAACAGAGTGAGGGCCAAGGATATTCAGTGAGAAGGCGATTCTGGATACTGAGTGAGGCGGTGATTCTGGATATTGAGTGAGATGGCGATTCTGGAATACAATGCTTAAGCCCAAAGACAACGACACCACTCCGAGTCGAGGCCATTCAGCCGCACATGAGACGCAGCCACAATCATCGGGGTCCCGGTGGGGCGGAACAGGGCCAGTGCTGCTTATTTGTTGCTGCTTGCTGCTCGCTGCTTGCTCATCACCGCTCGTTCGTCAAGCAGACAGTATCGCACTTGTTTTGGAACGCGAGCTTGTCCCGAGAGCGGATGCACAAGCGAGCATAGCTGCACTTGTCTGCTCTCGATGAAGGCTGGGCGGCATCTCGATCCCACGCCTCTCGCCAGCAACCAGACAAACAATGAGTATCTGCCTCCCCGATATCGTCATGCGATCACGAATGGCAATCAATCAGCGATCCAGTGGCAATCAATCAGCAGCCAATCAGCATTCAATCAGCAGTCAATCAGCAGTCAGTCAGCCATCCAGTGGCCTTGCAGGCGTGGAGGTCAAGTTATGTTGGATCGGATCTGCTCCCCTGTACCAACTGTGGACAGCGTTGATTCACGATCGAGTCGCACTGCCTCTGCCAATCGAGTCGGGCAGCTTCTGTCAATCCCTCAACGATTGCGTGCCATCCGCCTATATTTCCGTCCAGCGCTGACCCAGTCGGTCAAGCCGTGATCGAGGCGTCGATTAGGTCCGCAAATCCTCTCGCTCGCAACCTCAACAACGAGAAGTCGCCTTGTCTTGTTATTGACCTCAAGCCCTCAGCGACCTGAGTGGAACGAATACAACGACGATAGTGCTGGAACAGTGCACATATACAGTCGATCCAATCAAAAACGGGACACCCGTGATTTTGACGATTGATCAAATATTTTGTTTCGCGCGCTGGCCACGACCATTCTGTGATTTGAATCAAGGACGACATTGTGGGAATCGCTTCCAGCTCAAGATGCGCTGGATGAGCACCACACCAAGTCCCAAGATCCCCGGGGAGGCTTCCTTCTTGCGATACATTCGCCATGTGTTTGATGGAGACATGCTGGACAAACAGCTGTACTTCAGCCTGACCCGGCGACGGCGATTCAAGCGACTCGATCTCCACAGCAAGCGCACCGTCCACGAGATCTGCAAGCGAGTCATCGACCAGGCACCAAGGGAGACCGAAGTGGTGATTGCCTTTGGAAATGCCTCGTGGAAACAAGGGAAGGGATACGCATCCAGTCCCAGGAGACTCAGGTTCGCCAAGTACTTTGAGCAGTTCATACACCACCAGAGACGACCACCAGACCGATCCGTCTCCAAGATCCGTGTGTGCTCGGTGAACGAGTTCAACACATCCCAGGTGTGCTCACATTGTCGGGAAGCCAAGCGACTCGAGTCACCCGAGTATCTTGATATCGAGAAACCACACTTTGTCCGGAGCTGTACAAGCTGCCATACGCTGTGGGATCGAGACATCAATGCAGCCAGGAACATGATCTCGGTATGCCAGTCGACCATCGCCACAGGAGATCGACCGAAGGTATTCAAGACCATGCTTCCAAAACCAACCAAAACCACTCGATTGCCAACCAAGACAGGAGTGCAATGCCATGGCCTGCCCGCTGGGCCTACAGTCAGTCAGCGGGGTTCAGACATCTGAAGCCAGAAAGGAACTGTCCCGTTTCTTTCTGGACCGACTGTACAACGACCCCCCACAAACAAGTAAAAGAGGAAAGCGCCTCAAGAGCGGATTCAAGATTCATTGGAAGTATCATATTCATAGAGTATTGTTTGACAGATTTTAGGATCGCGGGGAGCGGGGGAGGAGGGAGTAAACCTGATAATATCAGTCAGTGCTGCTTCGGGGCACCGCTTCGGGACACCAACACGCATCACAGCGAATATGTGCACTGCAGCTTGCATCGATTCTTTGTCCTCAAAGGTCGTGTGTATCGCTTCAGAGCTTTCTCAAATGATCCAGTGGGACATAGCCACGCTCGCTCTTATCGCTCTCGACCAGGGCCCAGCCGTCGGGCATCTCCTGCAAGACCACCACTCGCTGGTGGATTGTGATATCGATCTCCTCAGGCTCGACAGCGGCCCGAGTTGTGGTTACTTCACGAAAATCAAGCTTGGGAACAGAGATGTATGAGGCCGGGCGTGCCACCGAGCCAGATGCTGCGCTGAGGACCGACGAGCGGTTTGGTCCGTTCGGGACGATTATGGGCGAGGATGTGGCTGAGTACGGAGGAGGGAAATCTATGGCTTTCGGTTGTATAGCCAAGTCGCGGGGCGGTTGGTCGACTTGCAGCGAGGGCGATCGGGGCTGTGAGGGCCCGGAAGGAGCGTCAGGATGTTGATAGGCGCCGGTGTGCTTTTCCAGGTCGCGAAGTCGAGAGGGATGGTCTCGTGGGATACTCAGGTTGCTGGCGGTGCTCTGGCGATTCGCTTCTCGATAGGCATCATTGATGGCGGATGTTCTCTTTCGGTTTCTGATGCATACCACGATTATACCAGTCAGCACAATGCAGCCACCACCGATTGATGCCGCCGTGATGATGGTACTCGAGCCGACGGAGTCGTTGGAGGAGGCATCAGGAGTAGAAGGCGTATTGATCGGGGCGGGGGCTGGCTGAGGAGGAATAATCCCCTGGGTCTGGATGGGACGGCCGCCGGGAATCGTGGTGATGATTTCGGGAGGGGGTGGAACATTGGTAACGATAGGCTGGGCGACGCATGTTGACGAGGGTCAGTGCAAGGAATCTTGACCTCACAAGTGATGATATATCGCTCGCCAATACCGGACGCAGACAGCTCACAAGTCATACCTGTGATCTGGTGGTAGGAGCGGGCGGTGGCGACGGCGGTAGCGGCGGTGGAGGAGGAGGAGGAGGAGGAGGAGGAGGAGGAGGAGGAGGAGGAGGAGGAGGAGGAGGAGGAGGAGGAGGAGGAGGTGGAGGAGGTGGAGGAGGTGGTGGTGGTGGTGGTGGTGGAGGAGGGGGAGGGGGCGGAGGAGAGCCACCGATCACTTCGACTCGGCTCCGAAAGCCGTCGCAATCGACAGCACCGCCCCGGAAGACGCAAGTTCCTACAAAGAAAGTGCCTGGCTTTGCGTTTCCTGGAATGTTCACAACAACTCTCTCGTTCGGGATGCTATTCATGCCTTCGCTCGACGCGATCGAGTAGTTGGGTGGATCCCGAGCCATGGCGCTTTGACCCTGGTGACGGCTCATTTAGCATCGCAGATATTGTGCTGGGGAATCGATTGATCGTGATTCGGAAAGAATGCCAAGGTACTCACCCACATATGAACGTCCAGCACATACTGTCCTTCGGCTATGGCCCCTGCGCCGTTAACGGTGACAACGTAGGAATGCCCGGTGATCCAGATGCCCTAGATGGTATGAAGTGGTTACCAGTCAGCAATACACATCCACTGTCCAGCTCGCAGCAATTTCTGGCGACAGCGCTGCAACAGCAACCGGAGGAGTTGCTGTTTCCTGCGGATGGACTGTGCTGACCTCGGTTATAGTGACCGTTGGGGAGGATCCGCAGCATATGAACAGCGCGCTGCTGAACAGCAACAAGCGCAGCAGATGTTGCATATTTATGAGCAAATGCCGCATGGCTTCAGCGGATGTCCGAAGGACTACGCTCTGATTCGGGAATAGATTTGCTCCGAGAGTCACGCCGTTGGCGAGAGAGGAGAGCAGCGACAAGCGGTCGAATCTTTTTGAGGACGATGCGGACTGTGAAGCCGACGCTGCGATGTATTGCGAAGCGAGGGGAGGGAGCCGGCATTGGATATCGGGTGATTCAGCACGACGGATCGCGGATGGTGCATCCCAAGTCTCGATATGGGAAAGCCTCGAGCTTGTGTTTCAAGATTGTGACACCAGATGCTTGCTGCGGGCAAAGGCATCCAGCCCATGGGCACAGTGTGCTTGGTAAGCGGATGCTCCACCTGAAACACAAGGCTGGCTGAGGCGAGTCATGTTGCTTGGGTGGCGAGCGTTGAATGTCAACAGCGCCATACATCGACCACAACGGTGAATGGCTTTCACTCCGAGTGACCCGCATCGTTGCTCCTGTGTGCCTCAGCCGTCGGTCATCGGAGACTGACTTTGTTGGATGCAGGCTCTGAAAAGCTACCAGTCCGATCGAAACGGGACAGAGCCCCGACCCTCCTGAATTGAGTGCCTGGGCGACGGATTGTCCCAAGTCGAGGCAGCAGTTGGAGAGCCTGCCTCTGACCTGAGCATTGGCCAAGGCCCTGGTATTAGAGCCACGTTGCGAGCGAGGGAGAGAGGGTGCGCATTCTCTCGGTCCATCGCGCTTGAGGATCTTGATGGATACCGATTGCTGGGATGCCAAGGACAACTATACGGGTCGACGAGGGTCGATGGATGGTAGTAGCTGTTCGGGAGCAGGAATGACTCGAGTTGGCTTGATAATGACGGGATGAAAAGGGCTCTGACTCCAAAACGCAACTCCGTTTGATGGCAGAACAGCACGGCTCAGCCAGTTTCCATAGAGCGCGTGGGGGACCTTGACGCTGTGACAGCCGTGGCAGATCCATTGTGCGGCATGTTCGATTTCGGTCCATTTGGTTGAGAGTGGCTCTACCGATGCAGCAGAGAGGTCGGAGAAACCATTGCCGCAACGAACAAACAGATCGCCTTGTCGAGCCCAGAATATTTCTTCCCGTTTGGAGCGGGACATGATCCGCTCTCCATCTGAAGAAACGATCACATTGCTCACCCAGCTTGTGTGGCCCTCGAGGGTGTGCATTATTTGCCCCGAGATGATATCCCATATTTTGATCGTCCTGTCGCCCGAGCCCGAGACGATCTGTTTGCTATCTGGTGTGATGGCCACGACATACACGGTATCTGTGTGTCCTTTGAGGGTGTGCTTGAGCTGGCCCGTGGCGGCATCCCACAGCTTGACGACAGTGTCGCTGGAGCCCGATGCAATCGACTTGCCATCGGGGGAGATCGTCACGGAGATCACCATCGATCGGTGGCCTTTGAGAGTATGCTTCAGCAGGCCTGAGGCACCGTCCCACACCTTGACGGTGTTGTCACTAGCGCCAGAGATGATCGATACTCCGTCAGGCGACACGGCTATGGAATTCACCGACCATGTGTGTCCCTCGAAGGTATGCTTCGGCTGGTTCGGAGTCGCATCCCACAACTTGATGGTGTTGTCATCCGAGCAAGAAACGATGGTCTTGAGGTCGAACGAGATGGCCAGCGAGTGCACCGATTTTCTGTGTCCCTCATAGGTATATATCACTTGACCTGTGAGGCAATCCCACAATATGACTATACCATCAACCGAACCAGAGACAATCCACTGGCCATCAGATGGATTGGCCACACATCGAACATCGCTGGTGTGCCCCACAAGAGTATGTTTCTCCTGGCCTGTGGTGGCGTCCCACACCTTGATGGTTTTGTCATCCGATCCTGATATGATGCATTTCCCATCGGGCGAGATCGTCACGGAGGTTACACCCTCCGCATGCGCCGCGACGTTGCGTTGTACCTGGCCCGTCGTGAGACCCCACACCTTGATAGTCTTGTCAGATGAGCCAGAGGCGGCCCACTTGCCATCGGGTGAAATCGCGACAGAGTTCACACTGTCCGTGTGCCCTTCGAGAGTGTGCTTCAATTGGCCAGTGGCGGCATCCCACATCTTGATGGTTTTATCCTTTGAACCTGACACCAGCAACTTGCTATCAGGTGAAATGGCCACACAATTCACACCCTCTGTGTGTCCTTCGAGAGTGCGTCTTAACTGGCCAGTAGTGGAATCCCACAACTTGATGGTGTTGTCATCAGAGCCCGATATAATCCACTTGCCATCAGACGAGATAGTCACCGAGGTCACCCAATCTGCATGGCAGCCAAGAGTGTTCTTCGGCTGACCAGTGATGGTATCCCACACTTTGATGGTCATGTCCCAAGAGCCAGAGACAATCCACATCCCGTCGGGCGAGATCGCCAGAGAGGTCACAGAATCTGTGTGTCCATCGAGTGTCATCTCGCACGGATCCCAGGTGGGTGCTGGACCCGTCGTGACCAGGAACGGGATCTTGTCCTCGAGTTGGTCGGCATATGTCTTGTAGATCGTTGTCTCCTTTGGTGTGAATGCATACCCCGAGTTGTACACCTGTGGTGCACTCGCAATGATCGGGTCGGCAAACTCGCGGATGAATCGATACGTGTCCTTGACCAGTTCCTTTGTGGTGTCGTCGACGATGGTGCTGGGTGCCTTGGCGATCACTCCTCGGAGCACAGCCAGTTGCCCGATGATCGGCTCGACCACATGTGTGAGCGACCCACACTCGAGCCAGAAGAACACATGCGTCTTGACGAACCGAGTGAGCACCGCTGCCACATCGACCATCTCGGTCAACTGCCACACCGGACTCGACTCGGCCACGCCTTCCACACACCACACAAAGTGTGTGATCCAGTGGGCGACGCTGTATCGCTGCGACGGTGTGATCTTGGCTGCGACCCTGTCCTCGAGGTCAGCGATCTTGTCGTGAAAGTCGTAGATCTCGCAGATGTTGACCACTGGCTCGTGCGAGAGGATCGCTCCGAGACATCCCTTGGCAAACACCGTGTGGAACGAGTCCGACACATGCCACGGATGGCCAGCCGATGCATCGCCGAGGAGATAGTCCGCCACCGACTTGTGGTTGAACTTGACCTCGGTGTTGGTGGACTGGCTGTCTCGGGGGCCCAATCTATTGGCGCCAGGATCGAGGACCAGGCTGAGGCTCTTGAGACACTCGCGAACGACGCCGATCTCGAGTCCAAACACATCGGCGATGATCTGCGGGGTCAGGATCGACTGGGCTGTGGCGATGGCCGACACCACCGTGACCAGCTCGGCCGGATGGCTCGACTGCGAGTGGATCTTGGCGAATGTCTTGTGATACAGCTGCCCGACATCGGCGGCGCTGTCGTTGATGTCCTTGATCGTGGCGAGTGTCACTGGGCCGTCTGTGGATGCTGCGTCGACGGTGTTGAGGATCAGGTTGATCCACACGAATGTCTTGGACTGGTCCAGCAGGATGGCGACTGCCTTGGTGCGGTCCGAGTCACTGAGAGTGTCGTGCACTCGCAGTCGGTGGCGGATGAACACCTCGAGGTCACGGACGTTCTCCTCGCTCGAGGGCTCGATCGTCTTGGTCGGGACTCCATCGAATGCTGCCTTGATATCGTCCTCGGGACGGGATGTCAGCAGCAGCTTGAGCCACGGACGGGTCTTGTTCAGTTCGACGAAGCGCCAGGCAAGCAGGCTGAGCAACTGGTCGCGCGGAGAGCACTCGTCGAGTGCATCCACCAGGATCATCACCGATCCCTTGGGTCTGTAGTCGCCGATGGCTTCGAGTGGATCGGCAATCACGGCCTTGAACAGGTCCGGGATGCTCATCTTGTCGAGACTGTCCTTGGTGTGGCCAGCCTCGAGCAGCTTGCGGCCGATCGGCGAGTGCCACTTGCACAGTCCATATGCGATGGTGTTCAACACCACTCGTGGATCGCTCTTGCGAGTGTCGTTGTACTTGAGGAACAGCGCCGACACCAGCTGGTTGCTGGCTGTGAGGATGTTGGCGATCTGGGCGGCAGCGACAGACTTCCCCACTCCAGCAACAGCATTGACCCACAGGACAGTGTCGGTGGTGTCCTGGTTGACCCAGTCGGTTGTTTGGTCGAACAGCCACTGGCGGGTGCCCTCGACATACAGATCCTCGAGTGCTCGTCTGTCGGAAGTGGAATCGATCGGATCGAGGAGGGATCGCAGGAGCGAGTCTTGCTCGGCATCAAGTTGGATGGGCCCGCCTTGGTGGTATGTCACTCCTTGGTCTGCAGCAGTCTTGGTCTTGGTGACAAGCTCTCGAAACGCAGGAACGAGTCTGGAAGCACCATGAGTCAGCAATAGGAATGAGTTGCTGCTGAGGGACATTCACACTTACTGTCTGAGAGCGGCTGTATCGACAGCCTTGAGTGCTTGGAGTTTGAACAGCTCCTTGAATGTCTGCTGGACGGTCATCGGCTGATTATCGAAGAGTGGACTGGATTTGTGCGCCGGAGGAAAGTCAGGGAACTTGGTAACTGGCGGAAAATACTCCTTCTTGAGGGTCTCGTCGCCGAACTTGCGAGTGGACCACATGAGGACAGGCTGAACGATGACGGGGTGGTCGGTGGCGGCGGTGTCTTGCATCAGCTTGAGGGCATGCTGGATCTGTGGATGGACGAGTGAATGTGAGTTATGGTTTGACAAACGAGACCACGATCAGCACCCGACCCACCTCGAGGAACTGATTGTCGGGCCAGACATGTGCGTTGAAGGTGCGCTTCAGACCGTCCTCGGAGAGAATGACGATGATGACGCAGGACTTGTAGAGACCGTTGATGAAACCCTGCTCCCAGTCCATGCCGTTGCAGAGACACTGGATGTCGAGGTATGGATGGAGCGCCGTGTGGCCTCGAGGGGTTGTGGCCAGGGTCCCATGCAGCGACGATGCATTGACAGCGTCGCTCTCGACCCGGTAGCTGTGGAAGGACGGTCGGTCAGCAAGTGGAGGTCAATGTGAATCAGTTGGTGCGGAACAGGCGAATGTGGTGTCGCTCTGATGCTGGATATCAACGCCACCTGATGAAGACTTCGTGAGACGTAAAGTTGTTCTGGCAGACCCAGCCATCCA